AAAAGAGAAGTGAACCAGTAAACATTGTGGCAAACAACGGCGACGGGAAAAAGCATGACGATGACTGTTAAAGACCTGAAATGCATTGTTCGAATTTCGAAAAAATTCTGCCATCACCTGTTCTCTTGCGCGGCAACGGAACGACGATCCGAGTTCCACGAATTTGCGTAGTGAAACGAGGAAATAAAATCGGCATGTAAACCAACACCGTTTACGGTGTAAACGCGGTTTAACGATCAGCTCGCCCACTCGCATCGACAGGGAAACTGCGCCATCATCCTTTAGCACCGCGATGATCTTGACAGTGACCGTAGCGATCAATGGCGCCGTCAATTAGGCGAATCGCGTTTGCCACTTGCCCACAGTGTACATCAGCGAGGACACGGGAAGGAAACCACGTGCGATTCTGGAACTCTGTCTGTGATGAGATGAAATAGTTTGATGGAAGGAGGAGCCTGAACTGCAAGACTCGAAATAACAATATCTACGTAACACAGTCTGATACCAGAAATGAAATTCCTGGTAGACGCGTGAATCTTCTTGAAGATGCAATTGAAATGGTTGTTTTCCGTTCCAGGAGAATGCGTCACGTTGTTATATCATTGGACTAGCTTCGCAGCATCCGCGTACGCGACCCTTGCGTCTCTTTGAAGCAGCTCGGGTTAGAGGAAGCATCACTTTCAACGCAACAAGTTCGATGCATCAGCAGTCAATTTTTATTTCGTTCGCACGAAGCCTTGAGTGCAGCGTTATTGCAAATTTCTACGAGACTATTTGCGTCATTGAACAACGCATAAAGATAAATACGTTGTCAGACGGTAAGAGAAGAAAGTGAAAACGAAATCGGACGCAGCAGACACGGGGGGCCGTGAGAACCCTCCAGGAAACCGGAAGTGTACGAAATTAGTCCAATTTCGTGCGCGACAAGTGGAAAAACGTTGGCGACTCCGGGCCGCGTTCTCTGTTACTCTCACGGGCGCGAACGTGCCGTAACGGGAATCCGGTAGGTGACTCGCGTGTGTATTCGCTGTTTCAACCCTGATTAGTCTCCTGCCGGCAAGCCCAATAACAAGTAATACCCTCGCCGCGTCATGAGGCTTAAACAGATTTCGCAACCGCTCGCGATTTCCTACGAGCTCCAGCTGGTCCGTGATTTTCAAAGCGATCGTAACGCTCGATTGTCCGCGAAAGGAGTCAGTGCCGATCATAGCAACTCGCACGGTGTGACGATTTTTCTTAAGTTAGATCACGCATCATACAGACTTATGTTAGACGTCGCATTACAAGGGATAACAGTCACCTGTAAACTAAAATTGAACCGACGATAAACGAACATGACGTGTGACGATAACAGGAGCCGACACACGCGTTTCTCTCACGGTGTGCGCGGCAACAGTTTGTTTTTTGCGCGATGATAAATCTGAAGCTTCTTATCTGTCGGCAGGCGATTAGAGTGATCGTCTAACAGTGTCGCAACAACCGACGATATGACACGAACAGAGACATCGTCAGACATTTCTGATGGATAAAAAAATGGAATACATATGTAAGATTGTAGTCCTTACAAAATCATAACCTTCAACGTGGATCGATGATTTTGTATTTATCCTCTTTTTATGAACGCTGGTGTTCGCGGGTCTTGTGTGCACGCGTTTAGTTAAACAAGACACTGCGATAGGAGTCGAGTTATCGTTGTAAATAAGAGAAACACATAAATCAATAAACGACCAGCTCTCTGAACCGCTTTATCACGAACCGAATCAAAGAATTTATAAATGCTTCCTGACACAAAGGAGTACGTATACAGGGTAGCTCGCAATTGGAATGAATCGAACAAACGTTCGTTCGTTCTAAAAGAATTTAACAGACTTTGATGAGAACCGAGACCGATCTCCCGAACCGATGTAAGCTGATTTAATTAAACCTTTATTATCAGGCGCAGTGTGCAAGTTTTCGTGTTTCCCGCACTGTATCCCAACGATTAGAACTTGGAGATGTACTTTGGCTGCTGAACGACGCGGACTCGTAGGCAGACAGCGGCCGCACACCTACGTGTTTCTAAATAAGTCTTATTCGTAGGTTGGCGAGGAGACGAAACGTGCGTTTCTCTCTTTCTCCTTCCTTCCGTCGAATCCTCGGCTACATTATCTAGATGCGAATCTATCGTAGCGAATCGTACGCATGCATTTGGCCATTTCCGCGACGTCGTTACACCTACGATAGTATTCGATCATAATAATCGTCATTTCGATCGTCTACTCGTTTTTCAACATTAATTCAGGAACTGCTGATCTACGCAGCGTGTTGACTAAGGATCCTCTGAAGTAGTTGGCAGGAGCAACCTATCCGAAGCACATTCGCTCGTTTCGGTGTCAAGCCATAACCTGTGCAGTACATAAATCCTGCATGAAACCGGGCTTACCTACGGTTATGATCCCACGCGACTAGGGTATTACGATCCGGCTCATAACGGACACCGTCCACGGTGACACGTAAATACACTATTGAATTAGTAAAGTGTCGCGCGTAGAGTGGGGGCGAGTCGATGATAATAGAACAATCATAAAAGTTCGAGGTAAATCTCGTCGAGTCATCGCGTTGTACCGAAAGTTACTCTTCCGTGAAACGTAAGATCGCGCGTGTCGATACTCGTACGCGTACGATCGGCCCGCGAATGCCGTGAACACGTGCGTACAAGAAGAAGACGGAGAGAGAAGCCGAAGCGGCGGAGGCAACGAGACGGGAACAAGTGCGAACGGGATAGAAAGAGAAGAACGGCAAAGACGGCGAGCCGAACGAGCAACAGAATAAGAGAGCGAGAGAGGCTACAAGGACTACTGCCGTTTTATTGGCAGAGGTGAACGACACTGCCTACTGCAAGGTGGATGCCTGTATTTCGCATAACCGCGCGTCGTTCGAACGTGCCGCGAGTTTATGGGTCACTACGTACTGTTTTCAAGCAACCACCTACGAAAGTAGTAGTGCGAGTTCGTTGAATCCGAATGGATCCGACATCGGAAAGCCGACAAAGTGCAGATCCTCTCGATACTTGGCCGAGCCTCTGCCTTCCTGATATTACATACAGGGAAGAAATCATATCGGATTGCGTCGTTGCATCGGCTGTTGTTTAGTGAGGACATATCACGTAAGAATAAACGTGGATACTTGAGAAATATTTTAATGACTTTAAACTTGCTAATGATTGGTTCACGAAACGTATAGATAAATACGTGAGCTGTCCATAGTCCGATCGATTCCAACGGGCAGATGAATCGTTTACGTAGGATATGCAAAACGATCCTTTTTTGCGAAATTAATGATTCATGGTTCCGCGTACAGTCTCAACTACGAAAGGCAATAAACTTGTGCGTCTCACGTAAGAGCGATTTAAGGCAAGAACTATAGGCGAAAGGCTTTGTCAATCAGAATCAAATTAGAATTCGAAAATAATCTAAGTCTCACGATGAATATTGTCGGCGAAACAGAATTCCAAAGCAAGTATTAAAAATACGTGACGCAATTCTACATGCATATGACGTGACGGAAATTCGCAAGTGCCGATGCACAAGTTGACTCCAGTTTTCTATTTATACGAGCGTCTTCTGCAGATGGTAAAATAAACTTTCGCGACTGTCTACAACTTCGGACAATGATTCCGCCCGTTTTTGGTTATATTAGTTCTCCTTCTGGAAACGAATCCTCGGGTAATCATAGAAAATCTGATGTTAACCGAGTATTGAGAAGGTGAGGCATAGACTTATTATTACTGTTCTCGGGTCTTGTCTCTCTAAGGGAAACTGACGCAATCAAAAACGGACGGAATCATTGTTTCGAAACGGGTACATTGGGAGTCATTGACATGGAATGAAAAATATTTCTGTACAGTCTGACAGCAATCGGGGATGCTCGAAATTCGAAGGAAAATTGGTCGAGTAATGCGAACTGACCTCTGTTTTACTGCTCCTCATCGATTTTAAGAACATGCGTCAATACCCAAGTACGTCGAACACGTACCCAAGAAAATTATAAGCAGCGTCTTTTAAATACTTTATAGATCGAAACTTTTATCACATTCTAAAGCGATTATATCGAACGATTCAGGAATGAGAAATGAAATATCGTGTACACAGTACGAACGTGCTCTTGTGGTGAAATATTTTGAGGTTAACTTGGACGATTTCGCGTCATCTTCGTATCGAAAGATCTAATATGTAATTCGGGAAGAAATAGTCATCACCTAATACTCTTCCTAACGTTGGCCCACAAATATTAATACGGGTTTATACAAATTCGTAATGTTTCCAATAGATACAAGAGTAAATCATCTATGATGTTGAGTAATTATAATTGAATTATCCAACAGCGTGCAAGTGTATTGTATTTGGTAATCAATGAGTGATGAAACTGGTTGAAATCATACATTAAAGTATAGTAAGGATGTGTCTTAAGAGTATGCGAGTTGAAATCAGTCATGAATCAGCTCGAGCTGGTAACTTCGTTTACCACCAAAAAATAGTTGTCCTTCAACTGTACATGCATGTATTTTATGATTGCTCAATATTAAAAAGGTAAATGGATTGGCAACTGCATAGGTTTAGAGATGTTTGAACCGTATGCTCGATAGAACAGAATCTGGTTCTCTGGTATGATAATACCAGAACGTTTATACAAGTACATTGGACAGAAGGACAATAAGATCACATTGATTGTTTACACTCTGGCATCAATATCAGATGATGAGCTGCCTCTGGTCTGGTATAGCGAAATTTTCTGTCAGTTCGAGTAGAACGTATTCCCATCATTATGTAACATTATCTCTGTGTCTCGGTTGATCAAATTGTGAGAGCGACTCGACTGAAGTAATAAATGCATGATCATAGATAGTGGAGCGACACGGTAGATCTCTGCTTTGTCCAACTGTATCAATGCCCTTGCAACGTTCTTCTGAACAAATCTGTAAGGCATAGAAGATAGGACAGAGATATCAAACGATGACTAACCTTTGAGCTGTGGTAACTGCTGTAGCTCAACATCCTGAGAGTTCCGATAACGGGAGGAACCCTGTGACTTCTTGGACTTTTTCTTGAGAGATCTCTTGGCGAAGGGATCTATCCGGTCCACGAAAGTCGTTGACGACATGTTTGGAGTAGCAGAGGCACTATGAGAACTGGATGGAAGTGGAACGCTGGAGGCAGCTTCGTGCCTCGGCTGCACTTTTTCGGCGTTGGACGCGACTAAAGGAGATTGCGTCCACCCCGAGGAGGTCGCATTCCGCGTCGAGGAAGATGAACTCACTACACACACAAGGACAAAGCAACACACTACACGATTACAAATCGCACGTGGTGTATCTGAACACGGTAACCTACTGGTTCAGACGTTCCTGTGGCAGAGAGGGGTGGAAATTGATATCGGTGCGTGCATAGCACGAGGAGTTTTTCCGTATCGCGTAACAGGCCACCACGTTAGTCAAAGTCGGGTTTGTCAACCGAGGAGAGCCATCAAGTTCACAAGTCCGATTGATATTCGTCGAGCAAATTGGCAGCCCGTTCTCGTATCGGTCGAGAAAAGGGGCGCGATCGCTTATTAGGCGTTGTCACACGCGAACGCACGCCCCGTCGTCGTACGTCGAATCTCCCACCTACACCGTGCACACAGAAGCGGCACCGTGTGTCTCTCCTTGATCGTATGTGGATTACGCGTTACCTGAAACCATCACCGACGATTTGGGCTACGGCTCGTTTCTTCGGCTCTCGCCGTTTTAACATATAGATGCGATTCACGGCGCCCGGAGAACCGTGAACGGCTGGCAGGCTTACCCGTATACCGTGCCTGCGTGTAGGGGATATATCGAGTCGCGAAAGAAGCCCCGTTACGAAATGCAGCTCCTCGCAAACCGTACGAGCGGTCTCTCGCCGCGCGAAATCTATCTTTCACAGGATTATCTCGGTTCCGCACGCGGCAGCCGCACTACGTTCGCGCAGCTAAACGCACACACTCACTTAAACGCTGCGATCAGCCACACTGAGGCTCGAACAGCACTCGGCCGCCATCAGCTGCTCGGACCGACGAGCTTCTTTCATTTTTGCCGGAACGACCGACAGACCGTCAGGCGCCAAGTCCTGCCGAGACGTCTCCCAGCATCATACGGTTTTATTGCGCGGCACACAACCCACTACGATCTCGGCATCTACCGCACGTAAAATTTAAATTAAAAAGAAAAAAGGGATTCTTGCACCGTCGCCCTCTTCACTTATTGAAAACCCGTCAAGAGGTGCCTTATGTGCCTGAAAATAGTAACGTGCACTCGGCAATCATCGCCCGGAGATACCCGATCACAGACGAATAATTGCCGACATCCTAGATCGCGCCACTTGTCCGATCTTTCGGATCTGTCACTGTTCGCCATTGCACCGTTCCTTCCTCGCTAGAGACATTTTGACTCACGTTTAGCCAATTGCGCTATTAAATCAATGTCGTCTTAAACTATTAGTTGAATAGCACAGAATTACACATCTAAATTATTTTACAATATCTCTGAGATCAAGTGAACGCAACATACGTTGACCCAAACATAACTTGTAGCCGTCTTTCAACCAATGCCGTGCGTTGAGGAATAGTGAAACTCATAGAGTAATTTTGAATTTACGTGCACACGCGGTAGCCTTGAGTGGTCACGCACGCATACCTCTACCGCGTTTGCGCGCGATGTGCATTTGCCGCTCTTTCGTACGCACGTAATTGTTATAAGTGGGACATGGTGTTGTGACGCATTTATTACTTGACGTAAGTATTGTAACACTATAACTACTGTTATACTGATATACCACGTTACTTCTCGTAAGAATTGTAGTTACTGTTTTTATACTACTATTTTATCGACTTTTGCTATTAACTCCGATTAAAAAATGCACGTTTGCTCAACTACTTGTTGGACACTTCTGACGTACATTGCTTGTATTTTATCGCGTTGTGGCGTTTTTCACCAGCTTCAGACGTGTAATACTCGAGTTTCATTAAAATGTGTTAGCTGTTTGGGAAAATTAGTATCATTATAGTATAGTAATTGGAATTTGCGAAGGAACAGAAACCCTTTAGGAAGAAGGTACATTAATCGAAGCTCCGAGTCACGGCTCGTGCAATGCCCCAACTTCCAGCCAGAAGAAACGAAATAAAAATAAGTAGAACGACTAAAATGGAACAGCGATGTATTGTAAATGTAATTACTTTGTTAATAAAATGATCGGAGCAGGGAGTGGAAGAGGAACTTTTTGAAATCCTTAGACCCCAGATAACTTAAAATATGAATTACACTACTAAGAATGTTTCTAAGATAAGGAGACAATTGCATTTTATACTCTATAACGTATAATCAAATATCAATTGAAATGCAAACCGAAGTCCCTCCTCGGTGCTCTACTTCTTTCGCGCTGAGTTTCTCAAACAAGGAACAGTTAAAGATAAGATACCAGCACGCTTGTTGCCTACGTGTGGCGCAGTGTTGCACATATAAATTTCCCTGCATCGTGCTCAATCGGTACATACATTGAGTAGGAAACTGATAAAACTATCGTTAGGCTAACTCTCGTCCCGGAAGTTTTATTGTTTTGCGGCACAGCAACGTTCTTGCCTCGTGCTCCTCGTGCCTCGTGCTCTGCTCGCTCGCACTCGCTCGTTTCATCGGAGAGCCATTTTGTGAGCATACCGGTACAAGACGCGAAAAACGAGAAATAGCGAACGTTGACAAAATGAATGGAATTGTAAGGAACACGCTACGCTGCTCTGTGATCAAGAATCTATTCTCGTCTTCCACGAGCACGGGAATCACTGGCAATTCATTAAGGACGCTGTGGAATGTTTCCCGACATGCTCAAATCACACCTCTCGCCACGGTAAAATCGTTTAGACACGAGCACATTTCCTGCAATTGCGGTTGTTGCAGAAGTGCCCACACAAAAGGTATATTAATCGTATTAAAGATTCCACTACTCGTAAAAAATTAATTGCGATAGTTACGCTTTGCGTATAATTTCTAGTTTGTACTTATAATCAATTATTTATACTTAGATTTTATTGTTAATTCTATAAAAACTATATAATTCCTGTTCCTTAGCTGAGAAAGAGCTTGTGGAATTCCTAGCGGAAGAAATCATAGCAGAAAAGAAGGCTCAAAAGCTGAAAACTATTCCTACCGAACTGGATGGATTCAAAGTATCCCTGAATGGTGCAGACGTTACGTTGGAAAAGCAACAAAATAATGAAACGTAAGAGAACAGAGCTGAACGATCATGATAATTAATGCTAACAGAATTTATATTTCAGTGTTAGAATTTCTTTCAATATAAATCATACGGTAGATTCTGATCCCGAACCAGAAATTGAAATGACTAGTGACAATCCAGATATTGGAGATATGAAAAGTAAACCGACCTTTACCATAGATGTAATTAGAGGAAATCAAACCCTTGGATTCACCTGTTCCTTTAACAACGAACCAGGTGCATCGGGTGCCAATGAGAACTACAGTAAATAAATTTCATTCTAGATGATAACAGTTTCTGTTGATAGGAGCGTATATCGTTATCTGTTATTTAATTGCAGATGACATCTTTGGCATAGATGAGATTACCTTGTATACCGGAGAACACTCTGACAAAGTGTACGCTGTCGCTGGAGAGATTATCGATGGTGTAAGTAATTCATATTGCAGATACAGGAAGTACCCAAAGTTTTGAGTACAAAGCAGTGAATCTAACTGCTCTGATTATTACTCTTTGGAAAAGCAAAACATTCTCTTATGGAATCATTTTATCACGAATGATATTGAAATAAGGGAATGTAACAATTACTTCGCTGTGAACTACATCAGTTGCATTTTTTTTATGTTTTGTACAAAGAAAACTTTGTTGTTTCAGTACCTTTATGATCTGCTGATGAATTATCTCGAAGAGAAGGGAGTATCGAACGAGTTTGCAGAGAAATTGGTCGAACTGAGTACGAACTACGAGCACACTGCGTACGTTAGTCTACTAGAAGGCCTTTCAAACTTCACCGCTGGCAAATAATTGTTCTGTTTTATTCCTCCTGTATTTATAATTATTTAGGCATAGATAACGTTTATGTAAAAATATCTTTATAATAAATACATGTAATAATTCAACCCTATCCCATTCATATCTCCATCTCCATATTTCTTAGAATCTTCCAATTTTTAATGATCGGACCTAACTTGATAATGCGATGCAGGTCGCACTCGGGAGAGAAAGAGAATGGTAACGTAGAGATCCGGTTAGCGGGATTACTTGACGCCAATTACCAACTGTACTACTTAAATAAGAATATCATCAAAATGATGAAGCTGAGCGAAACAATGGCGTAGGTAGCCAAGTATACGTTCGGATGTGCGGTCTACGAAGAGTTTCGTCGACATTTAATCAAGGATTGAAGATTGAATTGAAATGTCGAACCGCGACCCGGACAACTTGATGGAAACGAATGACGAGCGATTCGATTATCTGTTTAAGATTGTGCTTATCGGTGATTGTGGTACGGGGAAAACATGCGTCGTTCAGAGATTTAGATCTGGCACGTTCATCGAGAAGCACGGCAATACGATCGGTGTCGACTTTTCCATGAAAACCGTGCTGATCGATAACAAGAAAGTCAAGGTACGTTTATCCGATCGATCGACCGCTACAGAATAAGATACTTGCGATTTCCAACTAACTTTAACCTGCACCACGAATTCCTGAGGAATTCAACCCAGATTCGACTTCGAACTCGACATTATAGTACTCTATACAAATTTTGCATTCTATACTTTCCGCAAATGAAAACGAATAATTTCTTATTTTACGTAAAATAGATCACGTGATCCACGAATTTGATTGCAGTTACAAATATGGGACACAGCTGGTCAGGAGAGATTTCGTACTATAACTCAAAGTTATTACAGGTCTGCTAACGGTGTTATCGTAGGTGCGTAAGATACGCTTAGAGACACCGCGAGCTTTCTCATTGTTTTTCTTTTGAATACGTTTCAGTTTACGATATTACAAAGAGATCTACGTTTTTAAGTTTACAACATTGGGTAGAAGAAGTGCGCAGGTATTCTTCGTCGCACGTGTTATTAGTCTTAGTTGGTGAGCCAATTTTCCGATTTCGCGTACGAACGATCCGAATATCATTAATAAAGTGGGACGATGACTCGTAGGTAACAAATGTGATTTAGAAAATTTGCGGGAAGTGGAGAAGGGCGAGGCAGAAGCTCTTTGTCAATATCTTCCCGAAGTGCTACAAGTCGTGGAGACATCCGCCAAAGAGAATACCAATATTGATAACGTATTTTTCTATCTGGCGTCCGAGCTCAAGGTAAACGTTAAGATGATTTACAATCTTTAAAGATAACGATTTCACGTTTACAGAGAAGACACGAAAATCGCCAAATAAACGCTAGCGAGGATGAAACTGTAAAACTTGGCGGGGGTACGAAGTTATCCTCCTGCTCGAGCTGTCCGTTTAAAATAGTTTAAAACTCACAAGTCGAAATTTGTATATAAATCGATCGAACGGTGTACAACAATTTTTGATAACAACTCGATTATTGATAGAAGTGGATCTTACTGCGGTATCGAGCCAGGTATTCCGTGTCGCGGTTTTATCGGATATTTAGACATCGCATAATTTTGTAAATAACAAGCGTTTAGATTTTACAAACACGAAAACGACGTACTTCAACGTATTTATAGACGCACTAGAAATGGATACTCTTATTTATTTGTAACAAAGCGAATCTCAGAAAGCACACAAATAATATATTTTTTTAAACGAATGCTTCTGAAGCTCTCGTATTTTTTTTAAACATTGTTATTCAATTTATTGAAATAAATGACACATTGACAACTCGCAAGTGTTTTTACCTATAAGTTTCCTAGATCATTTTTGATTGCAAATTACCGTCAATTATCGGTTAATTTACAAATTCAGTAGATAGATAACGACAATGTACTAAACAGTATAAACATAATATAATCAACAAATAGCTGTTACTAAAGAAATTAGGAGAGGTGTATAATAGATGTATTAAAAAACATATAAATGTGTAAAGAATATTTCTGTGAAATATTTAATACATCTTTTATACACGATAACGTGTTAGTTAAATAGAAACATTTTGCCCTAAATAATAAATTCTCTGTTTTTATTTCTATAAATAATCATGCACCATTGAGATATTCTTTACAAGAATCGACGAGACCCCATAATAAATCAGTTAACGATTTAACCATTAAGGACTAACACGAGTTTCATACTCGTTTATAAGTCCGTCGATATTTCTCGTCCATGTGGACGAGATAATACGTTCCAGGAAACATGTTACTGATACTACTCTCAGGAGTGAAGGGAACAACGTGACAATTCTGTTCACGCGAGGCCAACACTTTCGTGTAATCGGTCGGAGAAATTTTTTGACGAGCCTCTAGGTCTGGTTTGATGTAAGAGAGGCCCGAGACGAGTTTCATCAAGTCGGACCCCTCTGCGTAGTCGTTCGTTATCGACAACGAATACATGGTGGAACAGAGGCCAGAACCATACGAGAATATCCCTACTTTCGAACCGGCTAATTCCTTCGCTGATTTACTAATTAATAAAGAAGCTAATCCGGTGTATACAGACGGCGTATACATGTTACCTACTTGACTACTTATCATCAAAGAGGGTTGCGTCTTCGTTTGGAAGTCTGTTTTGCTGACGTTCAGAAACGCTTTCTCTACTTCTTTATCGAAATAAGTATCCTCTAATTTAATATCATAAAACTTGGTCAATTCTGGATACTTCTTCGACACCTCCTCTCTAGATCTCTTTAGAAAATCGATAAAGGCTAATCTAGCAAGAGACTTTTGTACTAATTTACAGTATGGAGAGTGGAACAGAACTGCATCGAAACTATCTAAAGACGTGGAACGATTGTGTTTGTTCTTCACCTTTTTGCAGTAAGTCTGATAGCAATTGTCCAGCGCGTTCAGATAACATCTAATTGACAATTGTCCGTCTACAACGGGGTACTCGGACTTTAAATTCGGCTTGTAAAAATCGTAAGCATGTTTCATACACGACGCCCTTACTCCGCGGTCAATTACCAACGGTGCACCCGATCCGACGACCATCGCTATCGCTCCAGCACCACCGGTCGGCCTGGCGCTTCCAGCAGCGTAAACCGCGTTGTCGGCAGCGACGACCAATGCTAATCTTCCATCCCAAGCACTGCTCTCAACCCAGGCAACGGCATTCAAGAGAGCAGCGGTGCCTCCGTAGCAGGCGTTCGTCGTGTCGGCTCCTTCTATGTCGGTGCAACCGTGGGGTTCGAACAATTGCATAAGGACAGATTTGATCGACTTGCTCTTATCGATTATAGTCTCTGTTCCAACTTCTAATCTTCCCACGTCTTCCGGTTTTATCTTATGCCTGTCCATCAACCTGTGCACTACTGTCAAACACAGAGAGTTGATGTCTTCCCGGTCGTTGCAGAAACCCATCTTGCTCTGGCCTAAACCCACGGTGTACTTTCCGGCCGACACACCGTCGAATTGCTCCAGCTCTGCTTGATCCACGTACTGAGCGGGAAAGTACACTTCCATCGCTTTGATCCCAACATCTTTCGGCCACATGATGATGTTCGTTCGAACGATTTCGTAATGTATCGACGACACTCTCTACGAGTTTCTATTTGTTTTTTCTGACTCGAATCGTACGTTCTTGGATTTCAAATGCTCATGACAATGTGACGAGGGAAGGTCCACGTGACACCGGTTGATCTCGTTATCCAAATATTCCGATCTTTATGTAATATCCTCTGGCACTCAAAGCTGGCGATGATTTTTGTAAAACGACGTTATTACTATTGAGGATTTCGAGTTTCGACGAACGTCGCCTTCTCAAAACCGTAATTCACTGCGATAGAAATGTGTGCTTCGAGGACGGACACGCTACTAACTACCTAACGACGAATTCAGGTTAGAAGTGAAATCTCGGCGAGGTGAAAATTACGGTCACTTCCTATCGCGTGTCTTTTCGACACTAGCTCGACCCTTCCTTTTCGTTCCACCGGATTCGTTTAACTAATCAGTCTTCATAGGAAATCGAACTTACAAACTAACGTTCGACGAGCGAATGCTGCTCGCCGAGCTGCCGCCGCTTATTCAACTACTCGCGCTAAACTCGCGGTGGGGATAGATTACAAATTCATCCGATTCCCTTTATACCTAATCGCATTGCTTGCTGATTTAAATAAATATCTAAACGGACGAGCTTAGAAATATCGCAGAACGGTATCGATTATCTCGTCTTATTCAATATTCCATCGTCGTCAACAATGAGACTCAACTGTGTTGGGAGTTCGTAAAAAGAATTCAGTGCTGCGTATTAGATGTTCCCATTCGCGTTAGATTGCTCACATCCTTGTACATTCGCTCGCATCCTTGTACATTCGCTCGCAAGCGAAGAAAATTTGTTTTACTAATGTACTATCGTTATATCTTCTTGAAATAATTATAGATTTGTATATGGAGGCTCGAGGTCTGCTCACGTTTGACGTAACGTAACGGTACAAATGAAAATAAGCAAGTGGAATAAATTTTCGTGAAAGCGAACGGTACTACGAAACCGAACGCATACCAACCGATCGGAGAGTTGATTGTTTAACTATCTCAGGAAAATCGAATGGGGCAAAACGATCGTGACACGGTTTCGGTCTATAATTAATAAATTCTTTAAAACCGCTTGCACGTAACTTTGCACCGGCGTTTGATTCGATTCCTTACGATGATTAAACGAGGTCAAAGGAACCATTGATTTTCAAAAGCAAATTCATTCGGCTAAAGATTGTTAAGCGCGTCGACGGCATGACTCTCAATTATTTATCATAACTTTTTACTATTCAACATTTAATTTTATCTTATATGTCTCTCAATTTTCGTTACGTATATGCTTACGTACAACTATTTCGTATAATTCTTTCATCATTTGGCTTATCGTGATAAAAAACTTTTGAGAAACGTATAGAAAGGGAAGCGAAGGCTTAGACTTTCGTAGGAAACTAAGAATCGAAGCGTTTGGGCATTTTGACGAATTTTTACATACGCACGTATACGTGTCAAAGTGCAAGCTATTTTAAGCTGTTATTCTCGCTTACCTCTATTGTATGATTTTTGTTTTCAATACTTACACTGTCTGGGTTGTGCGAATAGTTTCTCTATAGCTGAATGCCAATGAATGCATTGACACTAACGATACGATCATTTTCACATGCATAAATATCTCTCGGAAACATGAATATATCGAATAATAAACTTCTCGTCGAAGATGCTAGAAACTGATCTAGCGGCAAGTACAAAAACTAGTTGCGAGTAAAATATAAAAAGTAATTCTTGCTCTTTTTGCATCTTTGATTATTATAAAACGCGAATAACGATAAAAATAATTGTAGGTCAATTAGGAAATCTATCTCCTAATGACACTTAGAATTACAAATATGCACTTAAAATAACTTTAACATTTCCTTTCTGAATAATGTATTTGATATTTTATCTGCGAATTAATGACGTCAAAGACTTGGGTGTAAAACGGGGCCAACATTTTCTCGTGATTTTGTATATAATTTACTGAATACATAACCCTAAATTATAATGATAATAATGTATTAATCGTGGCTTGATGGATATCAATTATTGATACAACGTGTGCTCTACAAGATAGCGGCGGCAGCTTCGTTTTCGTCTGGCACGGCAAAATATAGTTATCGTTTTATTCATTACCTAATTTCTCGCCTCCCTCCTCGTCCTTTTCCCTTGCATCGTTGCAGGCTCGCGAAACACGCGGTATTCATATGACAATTCACACGATTCGTAACAATCAATTAACTATTTAAATATCATAAGCATTGCTGAGTAAAATACACATACATACATATATATATATGTATATGTATATGTGGTAGTCGGTACACTTCTCTGTTTCGCCGATTCTGATATCTTACAACTACTTACGCGCGATACGATACACTGAAACTGAAACGAGCCAACGGCCGACTCCCTTCGTTATCCAAGGAAGCGCGTTTGTTTTTAATCGTTTCGGGCAAATTCGTTACAAACACGAAACGCGATCCCCGTCATCTTTTAAGTACTCGATTACACGTTCCTATACGTTATACTAAAAACCGAATGTACAACGTGGCGATTACAGTTGAATTCACACGATCCCGAAAACTGTTTCGCTATAATACCTTTGTACTTCGAACGTACGAGCCTCGAAATCTCAGTGGAATTTGTACAAAAGTCAAAGTTGGGAATGAAAAAGAGAACGTATCTTTCGACAAAAATATTATAGCTCGGTAGATGTTGTATGTACGAACGTCTTGCGCAATGTTCAGGCTTAACAATATCGGTGCAAAAAAGTGCGAATCGTTCGATATTTAAAAACTATACACGCTCATTGTTGTCTCTCTGCCGTCGTTTTTCTCCTCGAACGATTTTATTTAGAATACCCTCGAAAAGCATCTTCCTATGTTTCAAGTACAAATTGCTCTAGCATATCTTAAAGTTACGTTATCAGTATCTTTGAAATACGCTTTTCGAATTGTCGGCGTTAGTCATTAATGCGAAAAAGCGATCGTGTTGAGCTTCCAAATGGATTGTCGGCGATGAACAATGATCGAGTCGATGAAATTGATTCCTTTTACCTAGAAAAATGCGTATAAAATAGGAATGTAACACGTGATTCTCTTCCAATGAGCCGAGACCGTGAGTCTCCATGTTTCGCGAAAGATCGCGCGAATCTTATTTTACAGTAACTGAAGTTATAAAATGCTCATCCTCTTCGTCTTGGCACACTAGTAATTCAATTAGCTTAGAAAATACGAGGACAAGATTGGGCAGACTTTCTTCGACTATCTGTTAAAAAAGAGATAGGTAGGGAAGGAAATGCAATTGACAGTGTATGTGTGTTGGTGTGTGCGAAACAGTTCGAGGAACATATCGTTAAATCGTTTGCCCATTCTTGTTAAGAATATTAATGTGCATACTTGGACGGGTTCGAGACGGGGCGATTCATTTCACGATCGCTTCTACGTATCTTTCCGATTGCAAAGCGCACTGTCTCGAATCGCGACGATCCAACACATTACTTCAATTTATTTTTATACAATTTACTCTTATCTTAGTCGATTTGCCTCGTTATTAATAAAACTTACATTTACACGAATTGGACTTACATCCTTGATTTTATTTATACATAAATATATGTATATGTATATGTATATATATATATGGCCACTGCTTCATTAAAAATCACATTTAATCATCCGTCGCAAATTGATTCCAATGCATAGACTAATCATCAGCAATACTCTTCTTATTAATTCTTAAGTTTCCCTTTTGATCATTCATTAAAAAACGTTGTCGCTTAAATTAATTAATGTGAAACGATTATTTATACAATTTCTTCCTCGTCGACGAGTGCTGTTTATGGAAATATTACGTTTAATCTCTCGAACATTGATACGATTTATTGCTATCTCTAGACATAGAGAGAACATCGTGTCAATGGTGTATCGCACGTTTCGATTTTTTCAATTAATCTCTCTGATCGAAAGAAGTTTCATCCTGCGACGACTCTCGCATTCATGATCGATCGAATTTATTTTACTCCGATTACGTATGATACATTCGATCTCACAAGGGTATTAATACTTGCACACGTTCGCGGATCGCCTTTTGTCATTATTGCTAAAACAAAAGTTACGTCCTTTGAAATTATCTCTACATTTTGTACATTATCTATCGTAAGAGAAATTATGCTAGGGTACGTGTTCTCTGTTGAATATTAATAATAGGAAGCGCAAAAAGTACAGGCGGAACACGACAGGAGAAACACACTCTTCCATTTTTCACTCTTGAAAGCACAACGATTCTGTGCATGCTTGCGAAACGAGGAAATCGGTATAAACCCAGAGCGATATACGGAGCGTACACGACAACTGCACGATTTAAGCGACACATATTTTTTTTTCCTTGTCTTTTAATTCATTGACCGACCCCGAACTATGAACAAGATTGGATCTTAAATGATGAAAAACGTATAAAATACGTCTCGAATCTCATCGATGGAACGGTCGAGATTAATTCAGTTTCGGATAGTTCAGAGGAAGTATTTTAATATCAATGAAATTTCTCTTAAAGAGATCACGTTATCGATATGATCCGTTTTAAGAAAAATTGTTGATTACTTTAACAAAAGTCACTCTTCGCGTTGCCTTTTCGGAGTAGACTTAGAAGATTCCTTTCCTCTTATTCTTCTTATCCTTACCGTCGACAGCCCTGAAAAGAATTACAGTCTCAGTACAAATGAATAATTCGATTACGATCAGTAGCGATAGCGTAAACTTACGATGTTAATGTAATATGAGTTGTAATTAGTTACTGTCTTAGATCTTTTGCGCGCTCGTATTTTTATAAACAATTTTTCACGATTTTCCTATTACAAGTGTTCTCATCATTCGATCACTTAATAATTAATCATTGTTACATGAAGTTGAATCCTTGTACATCGATTTTTCTAAACATAGCTAAATATGTAAATACAACAAAATGTGTGTGATCTAGTCATGCCAAAATCATGCTTCGAGAAATGTGCACTTTCACGGCCACATGCCTGCGAGTAATGTATCGTATTTTCCTCAGTTTTGTCAATGCAGTGAACATTTTATATCTTTTTCATGTTTCACATTCGTCATTTATTGCAATAAGGCTTTTCGATTAACGACAGTTGACCAATTGCTAAAGCAATGCACAGGAGATGTATCGCACGCAACAATTACTTTTATATCGACACGTTTGTCCGCCGCAGGACGATTACAAAAATTAGCTTGAAACCACAGAACGATACAAAAAATATTGAAACGTGTTTTACAATTAAGCAGACTGATGTTCCTCTTACGCATTACGTAATTGGTAAGGCTTAAGTAACATGAGGGCGACGAAAATGGTTAGTAAATATTTTATGAAAGCATTACGTTTATTTGCGAAATAAGAGTCAACGATGAAATTAACACAATGTACTGTATAATAATAATTGTTTGTTAATTATTATCTGTCGTGTATTATACCCTTTATCAAGCTGTCTCTCAACCTCTTTGGATCGGATTCGAATCGCTGAAACGAAACGCAGAGGGAATTGTTCATGCGAACTGGAATGTAGTATTAATGAAACCGAAATAATAAGTATAATGAAAAGCAAACACGGACAGCTTGGTCAGAGTTTACAATAGACTTCCCTAATACTTTCTACGAATGTGAGAACGTTATAAATGATTTCGTACAAGATAGATTCGTGTGTACGGGTGTGGCGCATGTGAATATAAAACGGTGACATTCATATACGAATATAAAGATACTTTTGCGTCTCTTACATAAAGTTTATCACAAACTTTGTGCCAAAAATATGCCACTCTAAATATATATTTATCCATAGAGCTAACATACGATTACTATCGAGATTCATTTCGATATGGATATTTTCGACCCCTGTTCCTTCGTCCTAACTTTAAGATTTAACTCTCTCGGGCGCAACATAAAATCCATTTTGATAATCAAATCGTCATTTCGAATTTATAATATAAATTAGCTCTTATTCGTTACTATAATATAAAGATAATCAAAAATAGAAAGAAAAGGATACATATACATATCTGTGTATATATATAGTAAAAAGAAAAACGTCTCTGTACGTATAAAAAAGAAGAAGGTTCAACGATTTGGACGCGCAGCGCGGCGAACGCAGAGGTGTTTCATATTTTGAAAAGTAAATGTAGAGAGACTCTACGATCTACTAAGGATGCTCGGGATGTTGTATGACAAGCTGTATCTGTGTAGGGCTGTCTTGAGGTGATTTGAAACTGGTGTGACGGCGTAGGAGACTTCCTATCCCTCGGGAACCCCTCAATGTACCCCCGCCACCGCCAGATCCCTCGGAAGACACTGATCCCGTCCTAAATTAAGGGACACCCCGATATGGTATACACACAACAAACAAACACAAGCGCAAGCATCGCAATCATCCGTAATAAGAAGCCGTCTGAATGAAAATGCAAATAACAGCGAGATGTACGTCGTCGTCGTATCGTTACATCGCATACAGACATTCAGTGCTGATTTCGAACCAAGCGTTCAAGTAGTGAATCAAATGTATTTTCTAGTACACAAACGAATACGGTGTTTTCGAAAATGACTTTAAACGAAATGGTACACTACACATCTAACGAGAAAGAAAAGGGACGATCAAGTGACTTAAGGATGTATTGGCTATACAGTCAATCCCAAAAGTTTATGCACTTTAGAAACACATTTTTTAAAAAGAAATCAGACGTCGGAAGAACATTGCTAATAATAAACAACAAAAAAAATTTTTCGATTTTTCCGAGATTTTTCCAAGGGCGCCTTCAATTTCTTCCAAATTTTCGTTTTTGGCCAATAACTCTCAAACCGTTGAAAATACGGAAAAATTGCATAGGACCTTTCTTGTAGAGGACGACGAGATCTACAATTTCCATGTAAAAGTTTTTTGCTACCATTAATATTTAATGAATTATTGACGAAAAACGAAAAAACAGTTTTTTGCAAATTACTCGTTAACTACTGACGCTAGCAAAAAATTTTTACATGGAAATTGTAGATCTCGTCGTCCTCTACAAGAAAGGTCTTACGCAATTTTCCCGTAGGACCAACGGTTTACGAGTTATTAATGAAAAATGAAATTTTTTGTCAAAAGTTCGCCATTTCGATGCTGTCGATTTTATCAACATCAATAAAATGCCAAATAATCATACTTAACTCATTAAATATCGAGATTAGAAGAAAAATACACTATTTTTAATTATAGGAAATGCGTTTTTCTAAGGTACATAAACTTTTGGTATTGACTATATAGCCAATACATCCTTAACATGATGTAACAGGCTATTAATTAATAACGTTGGTACGAGACGAAATTACGAGGGAATTTACCAAATCACTGTGAATTAATATTGGATGAATGCACGTTGGATTAAGTTCAATCGAGTTCAGAACAACAGGGCTGTGTTCTACATGCATATTAATAATTATTAGTAATTTCCTGCTATTAGACTGAACTATATAAAACGGTTTTCCACATAATTTCAATTTATACTAAAAGCTGGAGCGCTTTGAACAACTTCCTCGACGAACGATAGCGATAGCGATTAAAATTAGTACTACAAGCTGACTGCTTTTATCACACATGTCTCGTGATTGTTTAATTCAAAGCAAGGATTTTAAGCAATTTTTTATTCACATATACAGCTCTACGTGTCTTCCGTTACCCTAATTACTATATGTATAAAGCTGTATAAGTATTTTTCGTTTCTTGTATTTTACCTCCTTTTAGATGAAGAAACATGTCGAGAAACGGAGGGTGGAACAAAATGACAATTGTAACAACTAGAAGCAGAGTTTACGTTTAAGGTGTACTTACTCTTTTGAGTTCGCCTCCAGACTGCGCCTACGCAACTCTTCGATACTCTGTCCAGTCTGTTGCTCCCATGCCAATTTCTCGGCCTCGAACGCTCGTCTCTTTTCTTCCAGCTCGCGCACTTGTTGTTCGAAAGAACGACGCGTCTGTTCGTGCCTTCTCTGCAACTGCAAACAGATTTTCCATGCGATTAAAACGATCGCCACATTGAAGTTTCGACAGCTGTGCGAACGACACTCACGTCCGCTTCCGAATCTTTAAGTCTTTGCCTCTTTTCCCTGACTTTCATTTCGAACACCTGCTCCATGTCGATCTCCATCTTCTTCATTTTGTTATCATGTTCTCTCTTTTCCTCTTCCAACTGAGCGAGAGGATTCCTATCGAACACACAGAAGGGATTCGAGTTTAAGAAGGGTACGAATTATATTCGAACAAAATATTTCACCCAAATCCATTTAAAATGTTTGTTGGATTGCGTATGTCGAGGGATGATCTATCTACGATTGTGGAGATAAAATAAAAATGCAATCGTTCGTAATAGTTACTTGAGCCAAGGAGAGGGAACAGTATGACGATGTTAACACCAGAGAGTAACTAATATGAAACTTAAGCTAAAATCCAAAAGCAATGAAAATATAATGCAATCTACTTCGTAAATTTCGAGAGGGTTCACTCATTTTTTTTAGCGAGACACCGATTGTCTCGAAGTTGATACACGCTGTTGTCGGTTGATCAACGACCAGGCGTGAACCCTGCTCTGACTAAATAAAACACGCGAAATAACTAACACCCAAGTAAATGGACGAAAGAGGCTTGTGCACACAAAACTATATTACACGATCCTGGCCTTATTAAAAAACTTACCACACTGTCATGAAACTGTTCATCACTCCTGGTGGGCACAAACTAACGAATAAGAAATTCATCATTAAAATTCACATACCAGAGATATTCTATTAAAATGATTTAGTCTCAAAATCGCTCTTTCCTTTACTCTTTAGCCTGGACATCATACATCTCAACGTTACGCTTATGATCCAAAGGAATAATCTTGTTCTTCGATAGTTTGCATGCACAAGCTTTTTGAATCGTTCAGCGAGAAAAAAACGAAATAAAATAACCTACAGACATTTGTATTCGTATCGGAGAAAACAAAGTCGGAAAGAAAGGATATCGATTCCTATCCCACGGGATTTTTCAAGTGTATATTCTCTTGTTCCCAGTTACTCGCTCTTTATCAGATCGTCCACATTTTAAACATATAAGTATGATATTTGTCTGAAAGAACGATTTACTTACTTGTTGGACACCTTGGTCGGTTTTCCGTCCACTCCAACGCCGGCCAACGTGCGGCATCTAAAATTCTCGTAATGCACGTTGTTCGTCACGTCTTTCAAGTCTTGCAAGTGCGTTCTGATCACCATGTTCCGCAGCGCGATGAAGTCGCAATGCTCCAGATTCTCCACTAAACAAAAACAGTCAATGATTTCTCTGGAACTTCAGCTCAGAAAGAAAGTAGTTTCAGAGATCTAGCGAACCTTCTGCGATTCCCCAGGGATACTTCCTTCCGCGGACTTTCCTGCCGTCGTGTTCGACCACGGTATTCGCGCCAACTACCGCGAACGGCACTCGGTCTCTGAGTACTTTGTGCATTTTGTTCTCCTCTTCCTCCTCCACCTCCGGAAACTCGTAAATTTTTATCTTGTGCTGCGCGATCTCGTTCAGAATCTAAATAACGATGTCGTTCAACGGCTTGATGTTACGTTTAAGATCACTGTTTTTCGTTTAATCTTTTTCGTATGTTAAACGACAGTAAAGAGGTGAATCTCTGTTCGCGCTTTACGAACCTGTTTCTTGAAGTGAGCGCACTCATCCGGCGTCATGGTATCTGCCTTCGCGATCACGGGTATGATATTAACTTTGTCGTGGAGACGTTGCATGAACTCGACGTCCAAAGGCTTCAAGCCGTGGCCGGAGGGCGCGACGAAGTAGAGGCAGCAGTGCACTCGACTGTCTGGTATCTGCTGTCTCACCACGCGAGACTCCGCGTTCAGGAACTCCTCGTATTTTGATTCGATATATTCAATCACTGGTACCCAGCTGCAACAACGAGATTTAAATCTCGCCGTTCCTTCGCGTTTACTACAAAATCAAATTACCAATTGCTGTTGTCGACCGCGTCGCCGAATCCGGGCGTATCGACGACGGTAAGCGTGAGGTTCACGCCGTTCTCCTTTAACAATACTTTGCTAGTCTCTACGGCTACGGTTTTCTTGACCCTAAGGCTAGGACCAGGGTACTCGGCGCTGTATATGTCGGCGAGGAACATTGAATTGATCAACGTCGATTTTCCTAGCCCCGACTCACCTGAACATACGCGAGATTAAATCGAATGAATTAGCTCTGTAGATGAATTTTGTCAGTTCCTTGCGGGGACGGAGTTCAAAATACCGAACGGTACCTTGACCTTTCCGTCTCTGTACCTTGAACTGGCCAAAGTGCCGCGCCTACTCTCCCTCAAGGATAAGCGTCTCAATTGCTCTATTTACGGAGAAATGGTTCTGTTTATACCGATGCTAATAATAGCGACACTCCGCCTATATTTTCTCTAATTTCTAACTTTTACTGAGACGAGACTCAGACTCCGCGACTACTTCTTACTTGGATCACCAATTATTTATTACTGATTACGAATTATTACAGACCTTATTAAAATGAATTTCGACGTTGAAAATGAGAGCCACTGACACTCGAAGACGGTTGTAACCCGGTCGAGTGAGAGCCGACTCTGCACGTGTTAAGCAGATGGGGACTCATAAGGCAATATCCTCGACAAAATTGAAATACCAACGAGAGAAACGGATCTCTTTGTTTCTCGATCTGAACAACGAAGGGACAAAAAGAAGAAGAAGGGAAAGAGGAAAACAAACGTCCATTGTACGTACAATGGACATTAACGAGGGTAGAAACGCAGCAAGTCGTAGCGCGTGCATTTTTTACGGCCCTTTACGCGAAAACTAATTCACTCCTGTGTAAACGGAACGAACATTCTTTTCGTCGGTCATTATTCTTCTCCGTGCCAGCCTTCCGGCTTTTTTTAAATAAATCGTCGGGCACATTTTCTACAATTTCGATCCATTTTAAACGCATGAAAGAGTGAGAACTGACCGACGACCATCAGAGTAAAGTCGAATCCCTTCTTGACAGCCTTTCGGTAGACCTGATTGGGGAGGTTGGCGAATCCCACGTAGCCGTCGAGCTCCTTCGGCTTGGTCGATGGCGTCGGTCGCGGGTGATGGAGGATGGCGGCCTCTTTGCTGTTCTCCGTACTCCTGTTCGACTCCCGTTTATTGCTGTCCTCTGATGCATCGTTTTGATTCAGTATCACCGTGGACGGAGGTAAACGCGGCTTCGAGGTAGGCGCCGTGGACGTGACGCTGGTGTATACGGCCGAGGACGCCGGCACCGTGTTCGGCGAGGCGAGGGTCGTCGTCGTCGTGATCGTCGTCGACGACGTGCACACTGGGGCCTGCGACGGAGGTTGCGGGGGCGGCACCGACGGCACCGACGGCGAGGATATTATTGGGGTGTTGTCGCCGCCTTTGAAGAACAGCTCGCGCTTCGCCTGTATCTGAAAATAGTAACCATACAATTATTCGAATATTCACTGGGGTCTCTATATACCATTCTCTTTCACGGTTTTATTCATCGAATGGGGACAACGAGCTAGTTTCGATGTTCGTTCCAGTTCGAGTTCGCATGACGGCCGATTGTTTCCAGAACTATAGTTCCCAGCCATCGTTAGCAGCGGCCTGATCATTGATCCGACTAAATTAGAGCCCGTCTATCCTGTGTCTATCTAGATAACGGCTACTCGGGCGCGACCCCAACGATCTCGATGTACCCCTTTCGCGTGACAACGTCGACGAACTTGTATAAAAACACGAGCCTCGGTGGAACGGTAACGCTGCTGCATCGCGACGACGAGATTTGCTTGTTTGCTAGCGATCGATACCCTTTACGTGCGACACCGTACGCTACGGTCAACTCGAGTAGCGCAACGTCTTATGAACTTCCGGCCGGAAGTGACCGCTGTCCCGCTGCTAAATGTAGACCGCAGACCAATAATTTCGAGTACGCGAGCATGCTTGAAAATAAAGGATTAGCCAATGGCGGAGAATGAACAGTCCCCTTCTTTTAAACATGCGGCTCTCTCAATAATTTCTGGAGTCTATCGAGGAACAAAAGAATGGTGGCTCCAGAAATAATGTTTCTTTTCGCTACGCGGTTTCAGAATAAATCCCGTTAAAAAAGGAAAGAGGGTACATTTTCTATTCCGCGCAGCCTCGTTTCGCGACGGTGAAAAGAGCGGCAGAGTTTCCGTTTGAAGCCCTTTTCGCGGTGCATTTCCGCGGCGTCAAAGAGAGCGAGAGAGAGAGAGGGCCACTCCGTCATCATCGTCTCTAGACACATAAAATGGATAGGAAAAATTCAGCGGACCAAGTCGTCGTCGTCGCCACGCGGTTTAATACCGAACCGTGGAAAAGGTACATCGTACAATGAATCATAATGCGGTACGTGTTCCGTTACGATTCGATCCGGCCGCGCGCGGAATAGAAATTGAATAGCTGACTCGTGCTCATTAAAGGAGCGGCGTGAAACGTGCGTAAGGTCAAGGCGGAAACGAACCACGGCGTGTAATAACGCGACAGATACTCAACACGCGTTCGCTTNAATAATAGTAATAATAATAATAATAGTAATAATAATAATAATACAATTTACATGAAATTACACACGTTATTTTTACGTTTGCAGTTGTTGTACTCCAATGTAGGAATAAATGCAACAGTTATTAAATAGGAACTCGAAGAACTTTATTTAGACGGTATAGCTCTGCACGTAAGTACGAACTGCGGAAATATGTCTAAACGTACATCTTTTCTGGTACTTATATCTAGTTAGTATGAATAATTGGGCTAATGGTCAAAGCAGGGTAGGAATGGGGATGTTTTTGGGTAGTTTTAAGGTTGTTTGTCGCTGAGTAAGATTCGTTATTCAAGTTTTTGAGTATGTTTAGGGTTACTTATTGCTGAGTAAAATTATATTAATACTAATAAATTAGTTCGTCATCCAACACAATCGATGCACTTTTATTTAACCACACCGTGTCGTTTTAAATAAACGAAATTGGAATGCGGAGGGTTAGTTAATATAGACTCGTTAGAGCTGCCAAACGGATTTCTCTTATTGCCGAACGCGTGGAGAGAACTTGGGCACACGGAAACGCGTTTCGGCTTTTGATTACAGAGAAACGGCACGACGCGCAGAGTCAACGTACGTACGATTGCACTTTAAAGGTGTTTTACACGCGCCTGACCTCGTTAATAAACTGCTTAAAATGAGAACTGGATTTCGAAACGACGTGCGGACGTAATAAATTTGAACAGGGTCGAAGGAAAGAGCACTTTCACGTTTCTTTAAACGAAGACAAAAACAGTTACGGTCTAACAGGTCGACGGAGCTTGTGCAAGCCGATAAAAATAGGAACTCCGTTATTGGTTTGACAATTTTTCTCAAATAATAGAGCGATCGAGAACGGAACGTTGAGCGTGTCGTTGATCTTGGGTGGCCTCGACAGTGTGTCATTTCCAGGAAAAATCCGCAGCCTGATTACGGAGACGCCCTTTATTTACGGCACAATGTAACAAAGAGTTGTAGCACGCGTTGTATCCAACGAGACTCTCTGAGAAACCAGAGAGAGAGAAAGAGAGAGAGAGAGAGAACCGAGAGCAGCATCGTGGAACAGAAACCGGTCCAGTGCGCACAAGACTGCACAACGTCGAGACACAGGCCTCATTCCGAAGTCTCTTGAAGAGATCCAGAGGAGCTGGTGGATTCGTGACGATTCGCTTCCTCTCTTTAAAACCAGAGATTCCTATTACAAACGCCAGGGACAATAGGAAAATCAAAGTAGCCTTCTCAGGGAGTGCAATCATATTTCGCTCGGCTTTGTCTGGACATCGAGGACAAGCTTTCCACAGAACAATGTGAACGGTCTCATTTAACGTTTCTGTAATTAATAGAAACAATACAAGAGTAGAACGATTACCATGTTCGTAAATGAAATTGTCAATCATCTGTCAAATCAAACTGTTTCACGTTATCAAAATATTGATCGGAGACTTTTAACGGAAGTTATTTTAGGAATGCAGACCGAGAAGTGAATTAATAATCCACGAAATATCAGTTAAGAGGGTAGCCGAGCAATCGGAATTATACACAACGTCGGAAGATAGGTAAAACTTGTACAAGCTAGTGATTAATTAAGAGCTTAACGTCGAAGAAATCCGAAGTCCGTGTTGAATGAAAGGGGCCACTCGTGTTCGAGTGCTCCAGGAACAAAGGGCTTCGAACAGATAAAACAGAAACCGTGCTTTTTTATACGGAGGGATTGATTTAATCGCCTATTCCACCGATTATTGACCTACACTCCTTTGTGCGAATTCTAAACAGGAAAAAAAAATCGTATTCGAATTACAAATTAAATTTATAATGTACGTGAGATCGTCCGTTGTTAAATGAGATCATCCCTTGTGTTTCGCACTTGAATATAGAGTTGTTGCATCGTCAGCTGAAGGTAACGGCTTCAGTTTCGAGGGTGCAATTGCATCGTATCAGATCTCCTCTCCTTGTTACGTAGCAACCTTCGAATTTAACTTCTTTCTGTCTTTTCTGGTCAGGACAAAGTCTCGCACGACGGCGACGATCATTATTTCATCTGTCCGGCGCGTAAATGCGAGATTCTGCACGGAGAAGTTTCGAATATCAATTCTGCGATATTTTTAGCGGTCGTTGCGGTTGAATCGCGTTTTTCGTCCTGCAATTTATTCGCGTGTACTTCCACCGACCGGAGGAAACGTTACACAAATACAAATAAACGTCTGGAAACGTACAGTAAAGCGTGATACTAGCGTTTCATTTTATAAATCGCATTAACGAGATTCATACGTTATTAAAAACGGAGGAGACGCGAAAAAACGCTCGCGTGAAACTATTCCAAGTATTTTGTTGATTTCCCAGTGGAACATCCGGTGGCTCGGTTTTCCGCCGGAAGCCATCGAGAACAAATTTTACGGCGGAGTGTATGATGCAAGCACGGAGATCATACTCGCGAATGTACGATGACTCTTCCCTGGCATTGAAAAACCAACGGGAAATGGGTCTGATAAGGTGTGAAAAAATCCAGGCCTCGTTAATCACCGGACACGCGAAAGTGTTACGCAAATTACGTATTAGATTAGATAGCGTGTCATAATTAGTCATCCCTTTTCGTATTCGCTTAATCAAATCTTAATTCGTGACAAACGTACCTAGAAACAGAGAAAGATTCTAATTTAATCTTGTCATTAATATTGATTTCTCTCGAGTAATAAAAGGACTTGAATGTTTGAAAATGAACTGAACAGCGTCTTGCGTTCGCGAAGACACTGATTTATGCGAGAGTATTAGAATTTTCCAAAAGGGCCGGTGGGATTAATTTGAATTGGAAATTGAAGAGCGACGAGCCGGGAACATTTCTGTATCGATGGCAACCTAGGAATGGAACCGGCGCTCCAGCTGTTGGCTGTGTTCAATGGAGACAGCTCGGGATTCATCGTTCCGCGAAGAATTCAATGCGAATTAAACACGGCAGACGCTCGCACTCTCCGCGTATCCACGACAACCATAAATCTAGGCCACGCAGTCAAACCGTACAACAATAATTCCACCCGACGATTTACTACAAATTTCAACGTCAAACAAAGTTCGCTTCAGCTCTTCTACTTAAATCGGGAACAATTGTTTTGTCTAAATTAGTGTTGAAAATCGTTAACTCATTGAAAAGAACAGTGAATCATGTTCCTAGAAAAAGATTGCCAGCTGCAGCGCAAAACAACATAAATTACTATGTTTTTTGTGAGTCTGATGTGCAATGTCTAACGATGGAAGATAGAACAGCCAGGAAAAGTTTTTCTCCCACCCGCATTCGCTTAATCGTTTCGCTTTGAAATATAAAATTCTGCAGTCTGCTTTTAAGCGTTTGAATCAGCTCGCAAGCCAGCGGATCGATACGGTCCGCGATCGTGGGAAGGAAAAGGGAAATCCGAAATCGTGCACCCTCCGGTTTCCATATGAACAAGTAGGTCTGCAACGAGGTCCCGTAACCCAATAACTCTGTTCTCTGCTCCCTTTCTCAGCCCTTCAATTTTTATAAGCGTCTAGTCATAAAACCTAGAGATCAAAAGAAAAATCTCATTACAATCGAATAGACAATGAATAACTTTTATTATTCTATGAGTTTTTTTATCTGATGAATCAGATTTGGAATAAAACCGAGAAGTTTTCTATTGGGGAACTAAAAAAGTTGACCTGGAAATGACCCTACCAACAGCTATCGATTTTCTTAACAATCCCTCTCGAGCTTCCCTCGACTCCCATACATTGGACCAGCCACCATTCCTAATTATACTCTTTCACCGTTTTACAAGTCGGAAATTGCACTGTGTAAAATATTCTGGCCGAGTCCATGGGTAGCCTCGTGCTAATTTCTACTCGGTAAACGGGGTATGCATCTTTCCTAGCTTGTTCGCGTGTGCTCGACCCGGACGAATCTCCTTAATTAACGGTCTTTCGTAAGGGTAGCAAGGCGCCGTGAAATTCTACTAGCAAGATGACGCGTCTCGCACGTGCCAGCACAACGTCTCGACTAATTTCGTTCAATTAATGTTCGCCAGCCCAAGAGGCCTAAACGAACCACGGGGTAAAATGAGACGTCATGCCTCCTAGGAATCAACTCATTAACCCGTCGATTCCCTGCGGCTCGAATTTCGATCCACCGACGTCTATTATCGACATAGGTGTGACTTGGAATAATACTAAAAACGATCATCATAAGGTCTGGCAAATATTTCAAACCATCTGGAAACATCCTAATTGAATCATATCATGATAAATTCTACGTAATAAATGTGGAATAATTTCATATCAAGGAATATAAGTGATAATACAGCCTCGTTCATTCATACATTGTACGATACGTTCCAAGACGGTTTCAAATGTCTATCGAGAGCAAGTTCGGTTGTAAAAGCACTGGTTACGATGTAACCCGTAATCATATCGTGCTGGCAACTCAAGTGTTACGTCCCATTTTGTCGAAGAGTCGTAAAATAGATAACAGTCGGCTTGTAAATTGGTCGAGTGAACGTCCGCGATGATTTCACAGGGGAAATAGTTTCGAAACGATAACGTCCAGCGGTGTAACCAGCTGTTAGTGTTAGCTCGCGAGGATTGCGCCAAGATAACTTTCTTATTATTTGATCATACGTCAGCAACAAGTTCGCATTCCATTTTCATACACGCAGCTATTGGCAAACGTTATAAAAACGTAGTACCGATTGGTACACGATGGAATCGTTGAATGAACCGTTGAATTCGTTGCAGAAATTCTAGAAGCTAGCCCACTTCAGGAAGCTTCTTCTAGTAATTGCGGAAGTCCATTCGCAGAGAGAAGCAACAATTCTCTTGCATGCTTCTCTGACCGTGTTTTGTATCATTGAAAAGCCTACTGCTATTCATGTAAAACGGTATACGAGCGCCATAAGTAGTTAGGTACACACGTACGTATATGTATACATACACAACGGGTAAGGGTGAAATACCACGAAGAACGAGGAAACACGAACGCTGTGTTTGGGGAAAAAACAGGGAGAAAAAGTGGGACGCGGCCTGCTTTTCTGAAAGGGTGCTCTGTGTGTCTGATGGGTGCCTTCTCCCCCTTCGTCCTACGGAAGGATACCGTTCTGTTACGAATTTACACGCTACTCTTTAAACTTGGAGGAGGATTTTTCATGAAACGAAGTAGCACAAGGTTGACTCCAGTTGTCTCGATCCTTTCAGATGCTATCATTAATTTGCGATCGATATAAATATAATTCCTGGCTCGGATCTAAAAAACAGAGAGGGATTTGTTATAATTTCGTTCAGTTGCATTCGTTCAACGATGAAAACAACGATCTCATTTAAGGTCGTTCTGCTTACGGAAGTAATAAATTTTCATTTTATCGAACGCGGCCAGGCTTCCCTGGTTCTTGGAAGTCTTCATCGGTGCGTGTACATTTTTAAAGGGTGAGGATTATCAGTACTTGAAAATATTAGGAGCACAGTTATTACGGTGACTCATATAACGCTCGGTATACTGCGAAAGAATTTCTCTTCCGAGTTAAATGCCTAATAAGCGCCTACGATTTAAAACTCCAACCCTGAAGTGTATCTCTTTCCCGTACTGAGTCACGAATTACGGTATATTTTTCTATTGTCTACGACGCATCGAGGGTAGCACCCTAACTGAGAGACCGTTTCGAATGCATGAGGGGTGACCATGTGGCTGGTCGCAGTGATCCTCAAATTCTTGCTCGTTGTAACTTCGTTCCGAAGGGGCAACTTCAAGACGAAATTCCGTGAAACTATAAGTTAGAACCTTAAGCGAGACGGTGCATAGAGTTTCCAAGGCTCGAGTATTCTTGCTACTTAAATTACACTCCGGAGCTTATTTGTACGCTCGAACCCGAACATGTTACAGGCATGCAACTTCGCCAACAAGTTAGAGGAAAATTCGGTCATTAAAAGGGGATAAAAATAAGCCGACGCGGCGCGAGAGTCGAGAGATTGAAAGCACATGCTCGACGCCCCTGGAATTAAAAGGCGAAGTCTCTCGCGAGCGCGAAAATCCATGAAAATGAAGATAAGAACTCCACGCCATATGTTCGTCCCCCTCCCCCGGTACGTTTTTCTCCGTCGCTCCACCGTCCGTGGAAACAGGGTAAGCGTCACGTGTTTGCCCACAGAGATTCTCATCGTTCCCTGACTCATTCTCGACTTAAAATACGTACATATCTACGAAAGAACACGGTTAGTACTGAGATGATATGATTTATAGTCGATCCGATGGAGTCACGCGAAGAGAATCGTGTGTACATTATGCGGGACTCTCGAGTGTACTCCACGGTGTCAAGGAGTATAAAATTCGATTCTCCGAGGAGTCAGGTCGAGCCATGAGGGAGATCTAAAAACGTGAATTTCCTTCTATAATTAAACCCGTCCACGCTTATTGATTTTAGATTTACGTGGAAACTGTTCGACGACACCTAAGGTTAAAAGTTCTATGACCCGTCCCGATAATCGTGCCAGGTAGAGTTGATCGATACGAAATCTAGCTTCAAAACTAATCTCGCTATTTCCAACAATTTTCCGATACTCCGCTGCTCGAAGTTAATTAATAATTCGCGTGTCGACGATTTAAGCTCGTTCGGGATCGCGGAATGAATCAGCGGTGGAACGGGAAAAAAGATCAGGCTTACCGAAGTAGTATCACCGTTCGCCTTTTCCCCGTCGAGTATCCTCTGCCTCAGGGCAAGCCTGTCGAGACTTGCCAGTCTGTAACTACCACCGCCCTCGCGGTCTCTAGACAACCGTTCGGCCGTGCCGCTGCCGTTCGAACCCGCGTTGAAGCTGGTCGTGTATTTCGGCAGGGTCGGCGGCGGCACTTGACGCGGTTTCTCACGGTTAAGCATCGAGTTGCTGCTGTACAGAAACGAGGAATTGTTCGGGACGTTCCTCGCCGACGACGACAGCCCGATCGAAGTCTTTATTCCGTTGCTCTGCGCCCCAGTAGAACCGTTCTGATTCTCCGTCGACATTTTACTGATTCAACACGATTCTTTCTCTTTCTCTTTCTATCTCCTTGCGCTGTACGGTCCTAGCTCTGATCTTCTATCGTGCAAACCGATAACGGGAAATTAAATCATGCTAGTTGCCTTTGTTCGTTGAAGAATCGTGAATTCATCAAAACGATGCACGGATATTATCCAAATTATATATTTCGCGAATGAAGGAAGGAAATGATATCGTGTGCAGCTGCCTCTTTGACTCGATATCTTCTCGAGAAACTGTTGCTTTACGCTTCGGCTATAAAACGTGTAATTCGAGGCGTTTTCAAGGGAGAACAAAAGACGGTATCAAGTTCCGAAAAAACGAACTTTAAGAACGAATTAAAAAGGTCTTAGATCGCGGTCTCCCGCAAACGATTAGTTTTATCGCAGGAAGCTGCGGCACAAAGGGCCAGAATCGGGGTATTAAACTCTCGTTCGTCCTCGTCTAGAAATAAGAATTCTTTTCAACGCGAAAACAATGGGTTTCGAGTGGAAACTCGGATGTTTGAATGGCGATTTGGCCAGCATGTGCCCTTGGAAACGCCTCCGCCACAGAGGATCAACAGAAACCGTATCACGGTCGTACACTTCGCGGATACTGTTACAATTGTAACGCGGAATTCATGTACGCGCGAATTTGATCGTGAAAACAATCGTGTACTCACTGTAACGTCCGCTATGCGTTATCTGTCACGCTCGAGCGAGGAAAATTTACGTATACGCGTGTAAACGAGTGGCTCTCCCGGCCTCGGAAGGGAGACACGCCGAGCGTGTGCGTGCGTAACGGAGGAGGGTGGCCAAGAAAACGAGCAAAAGAGGGAAGAGAAAGAGAGAAATCGGTCGGTTAGCACTATGCGTGGGCTCGCCGGTGTTGCTGTTGGTGATTCACGCTGTCGGCAAACCGGCCGAACGTGGCCGCGTTCACTCTCACTTTTCTGTGCATTGTTTCATTGTATCTAGCTCTCGTCTCCCTTTTCTCGAGAGAAGAAAACTTTATCGAGCCCCGTGTTCCACTGATCGTCGGAGCGAGCAAGAAGAACCGATGCGAGCGAAGAAAAAGTTAAACGACCTCTAGTACGCGCGCACCAACACTGTCTCGTACAAAGGTTGACAAACGATACCGTGGAAAACGACGCGTACGTCTTGCCCGACTCGAATATACTGCGGTGTTCCTCCTAACGAACGGGCGACCACGCCTGACGCAGCTAACGAGCAAAGTGGGGAGAACTAAACTATACCGGTTGCCAAGAATACCCAACGAAGTTGTCTACCTTCGACTGCGCATGAGCTCGACGAGAGAACGAGACCAATAGCATTCCCTATACGACCGAACGGACTCTTCTCATTGTACGATTCGATTCACTGTTCAGGACAATCCCTTTCGTCCCATATTTTAAATTACAACGTCTACGAATATCTCATTCCTTGTGAAAAATATGTTTTCCAATTTGTATTAATGATAATAAAACAAAGAATTATTAAGAATCAGCGATGACCATTCGGCGCCGACTGTCCAACTTCGTTACGTTCTTTTACCTTTCATACTCTCGTAGAGGGTAGGGAACAGGCGAGTAATCACCGCAGGTGGATCGACACAATAATTGGGAACGTAAAGTTAGTTCGAACGAGACCTTTGATATCGAATGCACACGCAGTGTCTTCTTGCACCTTATTTCACGTTAATGCTTAATCATTTACAAGGGAACAAAAGAGTAACGAGCAATCGAGGCTGCGCGTATGTAGCTTTAATAGCTCGATGCTCTTATTAGCTTAGAGTCCAATTAAGGCCACAATGATACTCCAAGTAATCTGCTACGTGCTTCCTAGTGTCGTATTAGAATACCAAGCGGCTTAACAAGTCAATATGATTATTAAGTCAGTTGAAACCTAAAACTCTGTTCATTCAATATTTATCTTAATGACATCCTTCTTTGAAGCAGTCGATGAACCATGTGATATCTAATCGTTTTGCAAATTATAATAAAAATTAGTTATATTTTAATGATTGTGTCTACCTGGAAAGGGCCAATCGCCCGTCGTTTTTCGTATAAGGCAAGAACCGTCGGATTTAGACGTCGTCTTGGTATCGCAGACACTGGCATTTTAAATCGTTTCTTCCCTGTATCTGTTTATTCAATCACTGCACTCACAACTCTCGTCACAGATTTACGTATTTACCCTCTAATGCCTATAAAACTCTTTACCACTCACAATCAAACGTACGGTTGAAATGGATTTAAATGCCCTCAATAAAAGCGAAACGCCCTTATCGAAATGGCGATTAAACAGCAGCGTCACGTATATTATATCACAAGAAAGATTATCAATAGTTATCGCGACTCCGCACGACACTTGTATGTACGTATCTAATATCGATTATCCATCCGGCACGAAAACTGCACCTTGCGGCGTTCTTCGCATGTTACTCACGATCGACACCGATCATTCATACCAAGTGATATATCATGGAATTTCGTAATTGCAAACTTCCACGAACATTACACATCTAATTGTGTTAAGAAAATCACAGAGATACGAATGAGAATAATAATTTGACATAACAGTACCCGCGGGTTCTGTTAAGTTAAATTGTAGAAATTAATATGATACTATGGAAAAGGATCCTTTGAAGATTTCCTTCGAAAGAAACTTGGATAGTATGCGAGCTACGGGACGCGAATTTAGTATTGCGAACACGGGGAATACGGTTGCACGCGTGTCGTACGGCAATTGGAATGTGACTAGCCTTATCAGAAACTTACCGCTGCCGTGGTGTCCGGAGAGGCCGTCGTCGTGGTGGTTGTGACATCGTCATCGTGCCGGGGTTTGTCGTCATCCAACATCCACGGGACACCGAGAACAGAAAAACGGAGCAAGAGGAAGGAACGAGGATAAAGAGAAAAGGACGGGATGGGAATCGTTGATATTAGTACATTAAAAAGGTCGATGAGTATGAATTACAGATCCTTAAGCAATATAGAAGAGTCAACTGAATAGGATCGACTATAAGTCGGACAAATTGGATTTTGTAATCGGATTATATACTCTGTCTTCGTGCCACTTTTCCTAATTTATCTCTTACTTCATTATTGATTACCGATCACTATCGATCGCGAGGAGAAATGAACGAATGCCCGACCGGAGCGACTGAAACGGTGGACACCTTATTGGGCAATTAGGTCATTCGATTAGGCGATCCATTAATTTATTTGGGTAGAGCGTTAGAACATCGCGGAGGTATGCCCCAGTTCTGAATCTCGTTTATGAAGGTTTCTACCGACGACAATGAGAAGGAAAGAATGTTATTTTAGCTGTGCTAATCTTTTTAAATTCTTGAGATACTTCGTACTGAACAAGAGGCACGTCGTCGTTCTCATTCCGGCCAATTATAAACCGCGATAATCCAATTAAAAAGGTACGTCCCTCGAATCGAGTGTAGCTTAATCGAAACGCCGATAATGTGTCACGAATTAATCTGGCTCGTCGAGCAAAAGTTGAACACGCACGAATTATGTTTCACGGAATCACTGTCGCAATTAACACCTCGACCTCCATCGAATTTAATTAATGACGCTACTTTTCATTCATGGAACTGAGATTAAATTAGCAGAGGCGGTAGGCAGAATGAAATTGATCGTAGCGTCGCTTACAGCAAGCTTCTGTTTCGAATGTTAGAATCTTAAAGGAAAAGAGCTTACGTGTGCCGGTTTGTGGAATGAACACCACGGTGGATGTTTCCATTTTGACCATGGGTATCGCTTTTTTTCCTTTATCGCGCCTTTTTTAACCTCGTTCGAAGCTCGTCGCTTCAGCCGAACGCGAACCGAAAATAGATATTTGCAAAAAGTAGAGGACCGCGAAAATTCCTTTGCTAGATCTTACGCGTCGACCTTTGTTCCAGTTGTCAAACTGAAAAACGAGCCGTGACTCGATCGGGAATCGCGAACGGATTAATAAACCAGTCACGAGCACTTTTTGCTTGGTGTTGGACGCTTTTTCTCCATGTCGTCGGATCGGATACTGAGATAACCGCGATAGAGCCAAGATTCCTAAGGTTTCGCTACGGAAAACTTGAAATTGGATTACAAGGAGGCGCCGGACTCGCGTCGTCTTTTCTGCTTACTCGCGCGGAATGAAAACGTTCGGGAAATTCCACGGCTCTCCCTCTGAGATTGATCTACGTAACAAAATTAAGAAGTTCTAATCGATCGGTCGTCCTCGTTTTCCCACGAACAAAGGGGATAGGCGCGAAGCTCTCTCACTATGCACTAATTTTATTATCGAGATTCCAGGGGGTTATGTCGATACCGGTCGCGGAATCGTTCGCGTGTCTACACGTCGGATATAGAAACTGTACTAAGACGTTGACGAGGCTCGCGAGTTCACTCACGACCAGCTCACGAGCCTCCGCGTGTTTCACGTGCCGATGAAGAAGTGGCCGGCCGTTCTTCGTGCGCGGGACAATTATAATGTTAAACCTGCTTCCCTCTTTCTATTTTGCGTTCCGGTCGGTGCACCGGTTCTACCGTACCTGTTACCCCGTCAATCAGACGTCGAACCATCCTGATACGCATCGTTCATTCTTCACTTTTCCCGTTGCCAGTTAGATAACGAAAGTATGCGATGGAAAAGAATGTATAGAGATCAATGACACGGAGCAGATTCATTTTTAAAGACACACGCCTAGTTTTTTCCTACCGAGGGAATCACGTGGATGAAATGTTAAGAAGTATACGTATATGGCAAATTGGAAAGGGCGGGAGTGTTCTCTTGTGAATAATACATGACACGGAGCTGTTCGAGTACTCAAAATTTTAGCCGAGTGCTCGGAACTCCGAGCCAAGAATTCGAGCTCGTTTTCGAAACCTATCGAGACTTACGTTTATCAAAATTAATCAGTTAATTAATTGATAAACGCACAATGCTAATTGAAATACGCGATATCGGAGAATAAGCTGGAGACACGTCCAAGTACAGATAGCTATTCATTGAAGTTCAGCTTCGAGGTCAGACAAATGAATGTACAATAAAACAAGTTCAGAGTAAGTCCGATATCATTACTTCTTTTTTCTCGTGGTCATGAGTCACTCGATATAATTCGCAGCCTTCGTTATTCACGGTATTAAAATAATAAATTTAATTTTCTGTTACGAACCAGCGGTGTGCTCTTAGTGTGGACGGTGTGTCCATGGAGAAAGCAAAAAGACGTTCGGCCAAGATGCACTCGTCGTTATTACATTACTTCCAAGATCGGTGTATACGCGACAGATATGATTTCACAGAGCCACGTAGAATAATAGTTTAATGTTACACGACTTAAGGATGTATTTTACAGACGGCGGAAGAACAATGCTAATAATAAATACGATATTTAATGAATTACATATGATTATATGGCATTTTATTGATGTTGACAAAATCCGATCATCCCAGCGTCGAAATGGCGAACTTTTGACAAAAAATTTCGTTTTTCTTCAATAATTCCTAAACCATTGGTCCTACGGAAAAATTGCATGAGATCTTTTTTGTAGAGGACGACGAGATCTACAATTCCTGTATAAGAATTCTTCGCTACCTTCAATAATTTACGAGTAATTTGCAAAAAACTGTTTTTTCGTTTTTCATCAATAACTCGTTAAATATTGATGCTAGCGAAGAACTTTTATACAGAAATTGTAGATCTTGTCGTCCCCTACAAAATAGTTCTATACATGCCCCCCTACGTCCATCCGTTCGGGAATTATTGACGAAAAAGGAAAATTTGGAAGAAATTGAAGGGGTACCCCTTGGAAAAATCTCGGAAAAATCGAAATTTTTTGTTGTTGTTTATTATTAGCATTGTTCTTCCGACGTCTGATTTCTTTTTAAAAAATGTGTTTCTAAAGTGCATAAACTTTTGGGATTGAGTGTATACCCGATACATCCTTAAGATGACTAGCCGGTTACGAGCAGAGAATTACCGCTAGCAAAAAAAGATGAATCACGAATGTCAGTGCTACTTCTATGAGCTAACGATACTTCCAATTGCGTGGAATCTATTATTGTTGTGCTTGATACTCGCGGACTATTTTCGTTGCGCGTACAACTGTTTGGATGAACAGAGGCGAACGTAGGAAGGGAATTCGGTTCTGAGAAAAGATTTGTTTTGATTCCTCCTGTTTAACTTGAGATGGCAATTTACACCGTCCTATTTAGACCACTTGGTACGGTTCAGTAAGTGCTGGTGATAACTGAGAGGAAGCAAACATAGACTGTACTGTGTACACCATGGTTCCACGGTATTTTATACGGAATAAAAATTTAATCTTGACCAGAGAGTAAATACGATACAAATAAATTCGTATCGTACGCGACATGCATTCGTTCTTGTAGCATAATCAAATAATGACATAACATTCCTATCTAACATTTCCGGCAACAGGAACTGTTCCTTATCGGTTTAGGCGATAGCATGAAATATGTACGTGAACCTGTATCTGTCACGAGATATTTCGTGAAATCGTATTGTTGGGAAAGCTTATATAAAAACAAAAAAAGTATACGTGTAACGTAAGAAACCTTCACAAACGAGATGCCGCGATCTTGCAGGAATGAAAAAACTCGAGATTCGGTGGGAAAGATTTAAGTGACTAAATTAAATTAGACGATAATATGAGAACGTGAACGTGTATCTCAGGAAATATTTCGCAAAATCGCATTGTTGACGAAGCTTGTACAAAAACGAGTACAAAACGAGTTACAAAAAAAGTAGGCGAATAACGTGAGAAACCTTTGCAAACGAGGTACCGGGATCTTTTAGGGATGAAAAAACGCGAGATACACGATCCGGTGGGACAGATTTAAATAGCTAAATGAAATCTGGCGAGACTGGCTCGGGGAAATAGTTGGTAGGTTAGGTCGGCTGCCGTATTGACCGGGCATTTACGGCGCTGTGTTATTGACGCAAAAATTTGGCGCCCTCAAAATGGTTGTCCCGAGTCGAGGCATCGAATTTCCACGTTCACGCACATATCGGAGAGAACTTCTGACTACTCACCACTTCTCTGCATCGTTCCGGTAGGTCGTTACGACTCATTAAACATAACTCTACTGGCCGAACAGCGTGTGTGAAGAAGAATTTTCGCAGAACACCACCGACGTATCCATCGACGCGACACCAATACCCTGTCAACGCGACCAAACACTCGTGCCTTTAACACAGCCGGACCCGTCTGGCTGGCATGCGTTTTCAAATGATCTCGAAGAGAGTCGAATGAGACATCGAGACATGCGTGCGCACACCACCGTGATGTCATGTCACGATCACGATCATGATCACGCCGCTTTCTTTCTGCAAACAAACGAGACACTAACTCGAATTTGTTTGAAACTTCTACAGGATATTTAAATATTTGTAAATATACAGGGCAAATTATTTAACCGTCGATTTCGAGGACCACATGATGCTACTGTACATTTTTCGCTTTGGATTGAGATAAATTTCCTTTCATTTACAATCTTCAAGTCAATAGAATTAATTAAACAGAAAATGTCGCGGGTCGGTGATTGAAATGGTGAGAACTACCTTCAAGATCGGTTCGTTTAGGAACTGTAATATCGAAACGTTGGACGCCTTGATTTGCACGATAACAGATAAGAATTGATAAGAATATCCAATAAATGCTGACAGAAAAGAAATTTCCTCTTTGATGTTGTACAAAAAGTGAACGATAACCAGCAATTAGTACGATTTCGGGCTTGCGACTATCTTATCGTAATTATTCATTAGTGATGGCTAAGCTACCAAAGGTTGATATCGTCAATGCTACTGGAACCCATACCGCCAGCTTATTTTTTTTTCATGGTTCAGGTACACACATGATTTTACATTAATTTTTAATTGTTAACAACTAGGGCAGTTCTATCTTCTCTTACCTCAGGGTCTACAGGGAGTGATATAAAGAAATGGATTGATAGCCTCAACAGAGAAGAATTGAGGTTCCCACATACAAAAATTATTTATCCCACTGCACCCTATCAGCCCTATACCCTCAATAATGGAATGGTACTGTGTCAGTATTCAAATTAACACATTAAGCAAGTTGAATCTGAATTTAGGAAAGTAATTATTGCTTCAGCCTAGTCATGTTTGGTTTGATCGCAAGGGTTTATCTAGGGAAGTGCCGGAGGACATAGAGTCAATAGACCCAATGTGTAAAACTATAGTAGAATTGATTGATAATGAAACTTCCAAAGGGATTCCAGATAATAGAATTGTAGTAGCTGGTTTTTCAATGGGAGGGGCACTGTCAATGTATTTATCATACAGATTTAGATTAACCTTAGGAGGATGCTGTGCCATGTCTAGTTTCCTTAATAAAAATACATTAGTGTATCAGGTACGTATCTTTTTTAGATTCTCAGTAATGTTCAATGCGTTTAATGTTGTTTTTTTATTCAGAGTTTGAAAGAAAATCAAGGAAGGAGAGTACCACCTCTTCTCCAGTTCCATGGTACCAGTGACACACTAGTCCCATTTCAATGGGGTGAGGACTCTTCTAATGATGTGAAAGATCTTGGAGTGAACGTTGAATTTATACCATTGCCCAATGTAGATCATGAGTTAAGCAGAGCTGGTATAGAAACCTTCAAGAAATGGCTTCTGAATATTTTACCAGAGTAATGTTTGTCTGTTGTTGTAAATTGTAAATAATAAATTTACATATAACTCTGTGAAATTGTCGTAATACACCTATCTATAGAAAATAAACTCGATCGATTCACGGAAAAATTTATCGAAACAGACCGAAAGCCCAAATGGGCGACTTGAGACCTGGCTATTGAGAGAGAGAAAACGAATGAGACAGTTCCACTTTTTTTCTATCGGCACGTGAAAGAGAAATAGATGCTCCTCCGAAGCATGTGTATTCTATCTTTTACTGTTAATAAAAATATATTGAACACTCGATCTGTTCTGTCATGTCCACGATTGAAACGGGTTTGTCACCAACGCGCTGGTATATTTAAAGAAGGGGTTACTACGAGGGGTAGGAAGGCAAACGAGCAAGCGCCACGAGAACAGCAGAACAGCGACGAATCGCTGTAGCCAGTGTCTCGAGGAGCACCCCACAAGTATAACGGGGAAGTTGGAGGGTGGTTCGACACAGTGGCCTCGTATAACTAACCCATATACATATTAACGAACGTACAACGAATGAATCGTCGCATTCTATTTTACTTCGATCGTTACCAAACGAACATTCGGAAACACGTCGGACGTTATACTGCGAGTTGCTGTATGTAAATCAATAATAGAAATTTGTGGCGACACGCAAATTAAAAGTGGAACTCGACATATGTTATCGGATCTGTGTACGCGATTGTTTATTTAAGATGATACCACCTGCGAGTTACGTCTCGAACGATAGCCGTTAATAAACGGATGATTGTTTAAATCTATGATTACCTGTTTGAAACTTGAAAATTGATTAATTTCGTGTCGATGGTCGAATAAAGACTAATTTAGAAGAATGACAGTGACGTACGTTGAAATATTACGTCTGAAGATCGCGATGAATAATTTGATGTGTTATTATGCGAATTCTCGATGCAACGGTAAATAATATGGCGCGCCTTCATCTGCAGTCAATGACGTCAAAGTCGGACGTCGAGAGGGACGTGAAAGATTCGATTTTAAGCCGTTGCGACGGAACACGTTGATTTTCAAAACGCGAACTAAATAAACATTTGACAAGTAATTAAAGAGAATCCAACGTGTCTAGCCAAATGTTAATTCCATAAAAATATAAATGAGATATCCGCCGATGCACAGCTGATCGAAATAGAAAACGATCGGAATTCGCGAACCGGGAATAGTAAATGAGGGAATCGAGATATACGACGGAAATGTGTATTAAAATCCCTGTATTAGCGGTATAATAAACCAACAGTCGATCGCGCTCGTCGTCCGGAGATCGGAATGAAATTTGTTTTCGATGGTATGAAGAAATATTGAACTTGTGAAAGAAAAGTGATGTACCGTGTTCGGACGAGGAGGCTCCTGATTGAGAAACGAAAAGCAGCAGGTTGATATTAAGTGGGGAGATATTAAAATGGGTCAAGAGTATCTCCACGATGACAGTGTACGTTGTTCGACTTTACGCTCGATGCCTTCTTGAAGAGATCCTCCTGCGAGTTCCTCGCGAGGATCGTTAAGACTCCGCCGCCGCCGTATGATTTGTCATTGACGAAGAACTCGTCAAACTGATCTTGTGAAAGAAAAATCAAGGGGAATGACACCGCGTGTCATCGTACCGACGATTAACTAGTAAACGTGCTATAGTTTCTCAGCCCGGTATTTGTCAAGAACTTCGTATATTGCACGATGCGTTGCGCGTAACGTTTGTAAACCCGATCGTTCAGCGTTCGAACATCGTTCCTGAGAAGACGAGTGTACTTTTCTGTCAAGTTTGAGACGAAATCAGTTTCATGGTGTACGGAACGCGCAAGATTGCGGAGTCTGCGACGACAACGGGGACGGCTTGGCTTTACAACATTACTACCCAAGGTACTGCATTATTTTATATGAAAATCTGCACTCTTCACGAACAAATACATGCCCGTCGGATATACACAAAATGAATGTTAGATATTTAGTGAAAAAATTTGCGAAATGTCGTCGGTCTCGTTGCGATTGATGGATGAATTCTTCGTGTGAAAGTTACGTAATGTACAAACTCTTTTTACCGGAATGCGTGTCTATGAATTCAGGAATATTAAAATGACCTACTGGGAATAGGTCAGGATTACCGCACGCTTCTCACTTTCACCTTGCCTTACTTCCCTCCTAGTCATAACGAAATTTATTCCGTCAGCATAAGAGAGAGCGGCCGGCGTTCGAAATTTTCCCTCGCGTGATAACCGGCTCGTAAACTGTATCTAAAAACGGAGAATTCATTAGAAAACTTTTAGCGAGAGACGTAACGTACGATAAAGATCTATGCGGCGTTAGTGATACGTTTCGAAACAATATAAAGGCGTTCGACAAGCGGCGATAAAATTTTGCTTACACCAAAATTTATCGCACAAGATTGGAGTACTGCCAGAATGGCTATGTTACGGTCGCTATTTGGTCTGCATTGCGGATTGAAATACATTTATTGCGTTGAAGAAAAGACGTAGACAATGTCCACTCGTTCCATCAACGCCTGAGAGACGTGAACATTCACACAAGAAAGTATAAGAAACACGGAAACAAATTCTACGAAAATAATCCAAATCGATCTCATCGATCTCACAGATGATAATTGTTAAAACGTATTGTTGTAGGAGAAATGAGTAGCAGCAGCGGATTGGGATTCGGCGTCGGCGTCGGTGTCGGCGTAGCCGGCGGGCCGACACTCGCGGCGGCTCAACAAGGCCAGGGTGTAGCCGCGCTTTTAGTCATGCTCGCAGTACTCTGCTTCATCTTCGCCTACTGTTGTTGGGGCGCGCCGTTCTGCAGATCTCTGTGCCGAAGACACTGTTGCTGTCGCCTCGAGGATCCAGAACCCGATTCACGGCTCAGTACAAATGATCCAGCGATGGTAGCAACGCCTACGATCATTCTCCTACCGCACGGCAGAATGCTTGTTGTGGATGGTACAATCTTCACGCAGTTCCAAACAGATCCAACCGGTGAGAACTCGAAGGATCCGATGGACGAAGAAAACAGTAAATTGATCAATGCATTTACAGGATTGGATTTGGTGGAGCTAGGAGACAGCGTTCTGCGTGCGCAAAGACATTGCTCGCGGAGCCTGCTGCGCATAAATCGGCAATTACAAAATAGCCAAGGCAGTATATTGGAGATGGACGCCGAAACACCGAGCAAGGACAGCTTAGGATCCATTGGATGCTTTCCTCCTCCGACTTATGAAAGTATTTATGGAAAGGAAGACTCGGATATGCCGCCATCCTATTCCGATATCTTATTGCACAGGTAACATTTCTTGTGGTAACGATGGCACACACGGTAATTTGTATTTTGTTGCCAGGTTTAATCTTCCTCACGAAGTAGATATGCACGGCTTTTGTCACGATGGCAAAGAGGAGATTGAAATGCAGAGCCTGGACGGTTGCCCGCACATAATAGGTAATCCCATGAACACGATACCGTACCCGTACGCGACGATAACTAATTTCAGTCAAAGCTTTCCACGAAGAACGGTCTCAAGGAACCCATCGATCATTAGCAACCCTCTCGATAGTTACTACGTAGATAACGAATTGGAATTGTATCGGTTAAGTCGAGAAATGGTACCACGAGTATTTAGCAATGCGAACTTTGAGGCTCTCAGGTTGTACCAGGATGAAACCTCGTTTCACATCGTCAACGAAGTCCAACGACAGAACGATCCTATAGATAATGGACACTATTGCGTGCCCGATAACACTCGAAACAACGAAAGGATATCTTTAAGTAACATTGACCAAATATCTAGAAGCGTGACGAACGAGTTGATGAACACTATGAATCTCGTTCGAAGCATGTCGAGAACTAGTCAAGAAAGTAGAAATAATGTAGAGAACTCGCAGAGGGATAATCAGGAGGCCGGAGTTTTCTTTGTTCAGTTATCGCGAGCCGAGGATCGTGATAATTCGCAGAATTGGTATATTGCCAATGAGAATGATAGGTCTGGAGCACAAGCGAGTCAAGAGGATCAATCCATCGCGAGGAACATGCTGCCGGAGAGTGAACAAGGGGATCAAGCAAATCATGACGACCAATCGGGCTCTTCGGCAGGATTCTACATCAGAGATCAGAGCACTGAAGAGGCTGTCGGTAGACAAGGATTGGAACCTGAGGCCGCCTACTCCGACGAAGAGACGAGGAATTTCGGAGCGCTGGCGGACATACGGGAGAGTCGAGTATAACGGCACGACAGTAAGCCATCTGACCAAGGTTGATATTTGTTGAGGACAATTAATATGTTTCGATTCAAGGCAAAAATTCAATGTTTCTTCCATTGGTTCTCGATAGTTTAGTAAGTCTACAATTTATTTGTCCGCGAAATAACGACGACGACGATACATGAGGAAGCCTATGAACACGTGTACAAACGATTTAACTATAATTTTCTACACGTAAGAAACACGATCGATTTAATTGTGGCACAATAATAAAAAGAAAACGGGGTGAGGTAAAGTTGGTTCAGTCCGTCCAAGGGTTTATCTAACACACTAGGTTCAGTAAATGTTAAGAAGATAGCCGACGTTAATATTTTTTACATGTCATTGGTGATTTATCCTACACACTACTTAATGTACAATTTGCTTTCTAGATTATTTTCATATAGTAACGTAACATATTTCTGACAACGCAAGTTTAGACACAAGAGGCTTATAATTTATATTTGTAACGAATAAGGTGTATATAGAGGAATTGTTGGACACGTCGGTTCTTATGTACAGATAATGTCCTACGAATCGAGTTTAAACTTATTAATTATGGCTCGGTTAAACAAGCGTATGGTGTCGTACGACGTCGCACGATCAAGCCATATCTACATATGTGAACTAAGATGTAATGAAGATTAATTTTAGCTAGAATTATGTATGCATTATAAACATATGAGGAAAATTATACATTGTACACATTATTACTGTTGTTGCGTAGATGAAAGATGTTAAATATAAGTTATTAATAAAATAAAGTATTTAATAAGAAACTGATTCTTAAAAAGAAATGATCATTTACCATACATTTCATATCTTTTGTAATTCAGTCGTCGCTGTCCATCTCCTCGGGTGCTGAAGAATCATCCTCATCTTGATCCTTACGATCCCAATCCTTCAGTTTTGTTCCCATAACAAAATCTTCCCTCAACACATTCCAAATTCCCTTGTCCTTCTATTAAAACATATTCTCCATCATTATGGCACTTTATTATGAATGATAAGTTTTACATAAGCAATGTAGCTACCTTGTTTTCAGAGTTTCTATTTTCTTGTTCGTCTTTCACAGCGTTATCTACAGAAATGCTTTTGCTTCCTCCCATAAGAACATCCAAGAACGAAGACTTATCAATACTCTTCAACACTTGTTCACGTTTCCTTTCTAACGGACCAGCTTCTTTAAGTTTCTTATTGATTTCTCCTTGCTGTTCTTTAACTGCATTAAATAACTGCACCACACCTCTACAATAACGAATAATCAATCATATCAAATAACAAACTTGTATCCTCTACTCCTTTTACAATTCAATTACCTCGTAGCAATTTTCTGTAACGTTCTTTCGCGTTCTCTATCCGTTATACTTGGTTTCACCCTAATGCCTAAACTCTTCTCGTTTCGCCTCTGTTTCAACTGTGCCGGCAATTTTTCAACGTCGTCTTTTGTTTCCTCTTGCTCGTCTTCTGTTTTCACTTCTTCCTCCGCCTTCTCGATTTCAAATGGTAAACTTTCTTCCTCTACCTTTTTCTTTACATCAACCAATTTCTTCGCTTTCGACAAGACTATACTCTTTTTACGTTTCGGTTTCTTAGTATGTAGAATCCTTTGCATAACATCTGCCCATCCAGGATTGCCTCCAGTTGCACTTTTGTGATCACCATCGTCCTCAGATTCATTTTCCAAGTGCATCCTTCTAAGCTTCGTTCTTTTCTTGTTTTTATTTTCTAATTCGTTCAAAATCGATGGATCTTTGTCATTATTGTGTTGTGATTTCACTGTAATTAATACGCAAGTGTTAATTAATACAATGATATTTAACAGTTTTACGAAGGAGGTTACATCAACACATCAAGTGCTTTACTGATTGTTATTTCATGTAAATTATTGATATTTCATACGGACCTTGTGCTCTTTTTGATAATCGTTTAGTTGCTGTATCGTCTAATGCAATCATTGTTAATTAAAATTATAGACACATGTATAAACACTGTAGACAGACGTAAACACACGGCAGTGCGCGCACGTGTAGTTTATTAAGTTTACTACTTCGATTCAGACACCATCGAAACGTGTCCAATATTTAAATTGCGTAAAAAAGTGTTTAAACAATAATGAATTAGCTCGATTTAAACGAAAGACGTAATTAAATGGTTGGGCAATGATTTCGTTGGGCAACTTAGAACACGATAACTTAGGCCCACGTTTTGACAAAACGATTTTGCAATACCGAGAAAATTGGTAAATGGTTATAACGGCGCATAACTATTTTTTTTTAATTATATTGAGCATAGCGGAAAATGATTTAAACAAAAGTTGTAGGCATTGGCGTCGTCTATACATCTATGCATTTTTCTTCCAATTACTTGAAGAGTGGTGGTAAGGATAATAATATAATACATATAGCTGCAGTTTGCAATTAATACTTGTTATACAAAAAATAGATTGGTTTAAAATAAAATATTTGTGCAAATTTAACTGTGTATTTGTATGATCAAATTTAACTGTGTATGAATATATCATGTATGAATAGAATATTTTATATTCCTTGTACGGCTATGATTTAACTGCATTCTCCTTTGAAAGCTCCAAAACATGTACGATAACATCGTCTACCGTATTTCTTGTCAATAGAGATTTCACGAAATTATCTTCTATGACAACCATAAATAAGCGTCTGATATTCTCTCTCAATCTCTCTGTAAATGGTAAATTACTTTCTGCAGTTAGAGCTTGTTTCCCGCATCTCCTAACCACGGCTTCCAGCACATCTTGAATAGGATTATCAGGCCAACCAAAGAACTGCAATATTATTTAATGATAGATGATTGAAATATTATCGTTTTATAAATTTTTACCTGTAGCGTCTCATCGTCAATTAATATTTTTAAGAGATCCGCGATGGATTTCAACAACCCGTCGGTAGAGAGTTTCGTGGACTCTCCATTATTTATTTTATTGAATGCAGTTGCGGCAATGTTGTGCAGCGTGTTCTGTAAATGTTTTTTCTCGACCTCGTTCATAACGTCCTCGAGTAGATCACGATGTTTAGCTTTGATGTGCCGTATCAAACAATCTTGCCGAATGAAAACTTTGTTACATTCGATACACGATTGTGGCGGTTCCCTTCTATGAGTATTCATATGAGCTTGCAAGGAAGACTTTGTAGAAAATGCTTTCTCGCACTTGTCGCATTTGAACGCTGAAATGGAACAGCTCTTAACAAAATTCGCTGAACATCGTAGGATGAACCAGTTTCCTTACGTTTAACTCCCGTGTGGAGCATCTCGTGTTTAACCAGGTCCTCCTTTCTTATAAACTTCTTCTCACAAACTTTGCACGTGAACGGAGTTGCTCCTTCGTGTACAAATTTCTTGTGGACGTTTAAACGGGCTCTTCTGTTAAATGCTTTGCCGCATACATCGCAGTAGAAGCCGTTCTCACCAGTGTGATGAAATATGTGAGCTCGCAATTGAGCACCTTGTATAAACGACTTGCCGCAATATTGACAAGCGTGAGGCTTCTCTCCGGTGTGAGTTCTCTGATGACGATTCAAAGTCTCCCGAGCGGCAAACTTCTTTTGACACTAAAATAATTCGAATACTAATTAACTGTTTCCAAATATAAACATGCTTGTAACTTTTTATTTTACGGAGGACAAAAGTTGGGAATTGCGTACGCTATCCAGAAGAACTTGTACAAGTTCCTCTCTCTCTCTCCATGCAACGCTTGCGTGTAAGAAGATCACGAGAGTTAGTATTTTGAGAATGATGTAATTAAATTAGCATCAACTATAAAGTTGATACTCACATATTTACATTCGAATGGTTTCTCGCCCGTATGAATGCGTCTGTGCTTTTTCAATGCGAGAGAGGACATGAATGATTTTGGACATAAATCACACTGAAGTGGCCGTTCGCCTGTATGCGCACGTTCGTGAATTAATAATTGCTGATTCGTACTGAATTCCTTAGGACAATATCTACACGGTTTTTTCTGCCTTTGCGGAGTTCCAGCGTGAGTCCGCAAATGATCCCGTAAATTATCTTTCCGCGTGAATACTTTCTCACAAACCTGTACAGTGGATTACTTAAAATTTGATTTACAGGTCGATTTTAGTATCGTATAAAAAGACTCACTTGGCAACTAAACGTTTTTATAATATTCCCGTGACAGCCGGAATGCATTACATGACGATTTAAATGATACATCCGTGAAAAATAAGTCTCGCAGCGTTCGCACCTGAAATTTGTTCACGTATATCACAGTTTTCCTTGACGCGTTTTCGATAACGATATTCGGGTTAATTACTTGTATATTTTTTTGTCCGCATGAGTAATATAACGGTGTTTATTCAACGCCTTCCTATCGCGGAACGACTGCCCGCAATCAACGCAGGTACAAGAATCAGCTTGCCAGTGAATTACTACAACATGTCTTTCCAACGAGGATTTCTTTTTAAACGATAGTTCACAGTATTCACAAGAAAAGTTACCACCGCTGTGGGCATTACTCAAGTCCTCTGCACAGCAATGGCATTGGGTTTCAGGTACAGGTTTAATTACTGGCTTATCATTATTATTTCCTTGACTATTGGAACTAGAATCTGAAATTATAATTCTCTTCAAATATACTCTTGTAAAACGTGCTTAAAAAGATATGTACCTTCTGTATTCGAGGTGTTGACGTAATCTGAATTGTCATCTTTCTCTTCCTCTTCCGAATCATAATTTTCAAGATAACTCAACTGCAAGGTGTTGGAATCATCTTCCTCCCTACACTCATCCAAATGTTCCTTCAGCATCTATACAAATTAATGTTGTCATCAATATTTCTAGAATAAATACTTGCGATCCTTTTAAAAATCAAATCAAATCTTACATCTTCTGACTGAAAGACACGGTGACACGTTACACACTCAAAATCAGTTATAATTTGTATAATTTGACCATCAATAACTGCAAGAGCATAACAAAAAGAACAATAATAATAAATTAAAGAAACACAGTGAGTCAATGTAATATATAAAATGAACGAAACAGATATTCATCATAATGTAAAATTGCTTACCACTCATCTCAGTGGATTCTTTTTCTTCGGTAGGCATTACAACAGTTTCTTCCACCTGTGGACCTAAGAAAATTAAAAGCATCGATGTCAGAGTTGTTGTTTAATCTCTGAACGCTTTGATAATTACCAATGAAATTCTCGTACGTTGTGTCCCTGATTAGAACAGTTTCATCCACTTTCACGATTTCTGTAACAAAATTCGACACGTGTCGTATAATACGTAACAAACAGAACTCGTAATACGTAAAATCCTGGTTAAATAAGTACCGATACCCATTATGTTCTCCATTTTTGGTAGAAACTCCGGAGTAACAGGAAAATTCTACACTTCGTTGGAAATCACTTTCACGATTGGTAATTTATGGTGAAAATCCATACACGTAAATCACGTTACATCTGCACTCGAACTCGACACAATAATAAATGTTCCTAACGAATTATTCAATAAAAGGAACGAGTTTATGATAAAATATTTTATGAATCCACTGCTATATGCTTCGGAACTTTCTTGTTTATCCTTTGCTAGACGGTTTGACCAGCGCTTGCCAGCGCCTGATCAGCGCCTAGGATAGTAATCCCTGTAAACTCGAACGCATATCAAAATGGCCTATGTCAAGGGGCACACCTTCCATGTTTCTAATTGACACGTTTCCCAAGCACGAGCATTCGTAAACTCGGAAATGAGAAAACATAATTTGAATGTATTTAAAAGTAAAATTATTGAAGGAATGCGTTCGATACTGTATCAGGATAATCGTTGAAGGAAATATAAGTAAAATAATTATTGCATACAATTTCCTCAATTCAATGATAGATGAATTTTTTCCCTCTTTTTTTTACGGTAAGAAGTTGGGTATCAAGAAATCAATAATTTATTTGTATCAGTAATACATTCGCATATTTTACATAAAATGTAATTTATTCATTAGGCAGTATCACATTATTAGAGAAAATACGTGCTTTACATTATACAAAAGTTTCAATAGAATAACATATATAATATGTTCAACAACCAATACGTCAGTGAATCTTAGGCTTTGCAGACTTCACTTTTTTTAGTTTCTTAAGTCCATTAATGTTCGACTTCAACAAGTTCCAATAAGCTTGCTGGAACTTATTCACATCCTTCGAATGAACCTATACAAAGCGTTCCCATTAGTTACATATGTACTCTTCGCAATTAGAATAAGATATTGTAATGAATGAAATGATCCATACGATAGTCGAAATCTTTTTGGTTCTCAAAGTAGCTCTGATTAAACACAAGAATTCGCTTGGTGCTGGTAAGGGAGGTTTACCTTCCCTTGGTATTGGCTTGTTATGTCCGTTAACTAAGAACAGAATGCAAGAAGTTAACATTCCAGGTCTCGGTTATTTAGGAAAATTGCAGTAGCGGAGTACTTACACCTTTTAATAGTAAGCACTACTGAGCCAGACAGTCGAGATTTGTCGAAAAGTCGTGTTAGCTCCACTAAAAACTGAAACGAAAGTTAACATAAAACCGTCGTAATTGGGAGTACACGTTCAGAGTGAATTACCGCGTCATTTTCCAGTAAAACCATTTTGGTAATTCCAACATATGTCTTTAAAATTTGTTCAATAACACGTTAGCTGTGTCAGTGTTCGATCATTTCGAGGTTTCACCGAATGACAACCGCGATGATGGGAGATTCAGATGCGAACCATGCGAACTACCGTATGATTAAGGGGGATCTACATGTAGACTTTCTAATCTTTTTATTAACGATCTCAAGATGAAACGTTATATTTCTTTATACGGCAATTAATTTATCGCGTCGATCTCCTCGAAAACGTTGCAGAGAATTTAGCGGTATAACATTTAGTCCCGCTAAAACTTCAGCGCACTTTCAGCTGCCATGGTAGAAGGAAGTTGTGAACTTTCCTTCAATCAATGTTTCGTGTTTACAAAAATTATTGTTCTACGCGGTATTTATTACAAATAAAGGCTACGTAAAAATGAGTGTACGCGTGAAAATTAACGAGGCTGACAAATGTATTTACGAAAATAATAACTGCATAACGTCGAGTGCGAATAATTTGAGTGGCTTAATTTCTTGTCTGAAAGATACGCAAGTTGAAATCAACGATTTTTTAACTAGTCTCGTGGAAAGGCAGAATAGCTCCGCGAAATCAGAAAGTACATAATAAATGTTATTAAAAAGAGTAGACGTTATTTCGGTTCGAAACTTGTGAAAGCTAAACGGTCTTCTATCAATTTTAGATCAAATAACATCCGATACTGATTCAGATTTCGACGACGAGACCGAAGTTAATCCAAAGAAATCTAAACTGGCCGACTAATAATTTACATGAGAAAAATTTGCATATAATCGGGATATTACGTGATTATTATTCTATAATGTATCGTCACAATGTCATGCGTGTTCCTAAATGAAAAGTTGTGATGGTCAAAAACATTTCGAGATCAAGACATAGTGAAAAAATACGTGGTAATTATACTGTCGTCTTATTAATTCAACATCGTTTTGATCTGATTTAATTAACAATGGTCAATTTTAATTAAGATAGAACATGTCTGCCATGCTCTCGAATGAGGCCCAACAACGGTATGTGATAGAATGGTTCCAAGAATGGTCCGAAATGCAAAGAAGCGACTTTCTGGACGTGCTTCTGGAGCAGTGTGGCCCTTCAGGTCTTGTCAATGGACTGCTATCCAAAATGGAAAGCTTAGGACATTCAAATGAGTCCGACAGACCTCCGAGTCTGTTTCAATGTCGTGTGAAGTTGTTTAGGGAATGGAGTCACAATTGGTCTCAGCAGGAGAAAGATTCCTTGCTTTTATCAATCAAGAATTCTGATCCTGCTTTTGCTAAGAAATACGATGAGAAAATCTCGGCCTTGATAGGCGAAGAAGGAAAGGTATAAATAATCACTTCATTTTTATTGTCAGTCGGGAAGTGTTCAATGAAAAACATAGCAGGCCTAGTATTTTAATCTTTATAAAATTTGAGAAAATGTAACAATGGAATTTAGGATGATATTCGAATAGTTTAGATACTTTTTTGTAATACTTTAGACCGCGTAGGATTTATAAGTTGAATGTACATTCCACCATTCTTTTTAACCAAGCGAAGAGAGTAATCACTCGAGAATGTATGATACTTTGTGCTTGTCAAGAGGTTTGGCAAGTAAGCCAGGGGTTATTTATTATTAAATACATATCTGAGTATAATAAACATTTCGAGGTTTATTATCGTATTCTTACATTGTGGGACTGTATTACTGTTTATATCATAAATTACAAAATTCACATTTCGTTCAAGTTTAAGGCTATAAAAATCATAAAAAATATAAATGCTCTTTTCACATATCATTTTAGGAACATTTATACAAACGTGTTGCAAGCTTCTGTCTTTGTATCACTTATTAATAGACATAATTTATATGTATATACATTATTTCTTTGATTGCTGTTCAAGCCATTTTATACATATTGCTTCGATAGCGTTTTGACCTAGTCTGTCAGATTCCTTTAAAATCTTTTTTATATCTTGTGTCCTCGAATCTTTCACAGCTAATAAGTACGCTGCTTTTAATTGTTTACACTCGATATATGCATTTATCTGGTAAAAAAAGTTGAATGATTATATTGATGTCAAAGGGACAAGCTAAGTCCAACAATGTTTGATCTTACCTTAAGTTCTACATCAGTTATCAGTCTGACAAGACCATAAATATCATTTTTTAGTACTGCTTCGTCTTGATTGTTCAGACGACTCATTAATAGTTTTACGCAATGCGTTATCACGTAATCCGATATTATATACGAATTTGGAATGCCCGATGTCTGACAACATTTGATCAATTGTTGTATCGCTGGAACATCGTTTTTCATCGTCAATACGTGTCCGGCTAACGAATACACTTTTTGCTGCGGTAGATAATAATCTGAAAATAATATTATTACTTCGATGGAAAAGTAAACGTGGCTGTAAACACTCGAATACGATCATAAGACCTTGCATAATCCTGAACGCTATTCCAAATCCCTCTTCGATGTTGCACCCGCAAAGAATAGTTAAAACAGCCAGATCGATCTTTTGCTGTTGATTCCCAAATAACGTGGGCACTTCCGTGATCGAAGTTTTAGAATCCTTTCCTGGAAACAGTCTCAGATACTGAATAGGAGTTCTGCCCTCTTTCTCGCAACTTGCCAGAAACTTGGCAATCTCCATTTGCCTGGAAATGGTATTTATATGTTTGTCTATTTCCGAGGGTTCCATTTCCATCGTAAAAATCCCTTGACTGCCGTGCATAGAACTTGTGCTCTTCTTCCTCTTACGATTCAAAGTTTCGATTTGCAGCTCCGACTCCAAATGCTTCTGCGCGTCGAGCAGAAAGTTCGCTTTAGCTTTCAGATCCGTGTAGTTACTCGCTTCGTTGATATAGAAACGAACGCATGTCATCGCAGCTCGCACGGAGTCTTTCATGAACAGTTGCAAGTGGTACAAGATGTTTAGGTATTGCCGTTTTTCCAAGCTATGACAGACATGTATCAGATACTTTTTCCAAACGAACAAGCTTGGGTCTTTGTCCGACATCGCTTCGTGAAGCTTTTCAACGTTCCCGTTTCTCAAGCAGTATAGATAAATCTCATTAAAAAATAACTCCGGTTCTAAATTATTTTCCAAAGTGAACGCTAGGCATTTGTTGAATTCTTCGTGCTTCAAAAAGAATTCTAAAATCGAAGCGTAACTCCCGTAAGTTAACAGATAGTAAAGGCTTTCTTCGTAATAAATTTTAGCGAAGAATTGTTTCCTGTTCGCGATAAAGCTTCCGAATGTGTTGAATAAATCTTGCGCGGTGCTGGAGTATTGATAGTGCGCGTATTGTTTGTACACGCCCAGATTATCTAAGATCTGTAAGATCTCCGTAAGAACCGGTGGATTTTTCAGCGGACGATTTTTCGAATACTCCGATCTCTTCAGTTTCTCCTCTTCAATTTTATTCAGTCTTTCGGTCTCTTTCTTGCTCGAGGTTTCCGATTCTCTCGGATACGACAGAATCACCCAATCGTCGAAAGAATCGTATTGAACCTTGTCGAGACAATGGAAGAACTTGTCTCGTGCTTGATCAAAATATCCCACCTTCAAGCATGCCTTGCCCCAAGTCGTCCAAACGCCCTGAGTATCAAGCCCTGCCTTAGTGCTCATATCTAAAGCGAGAGTCCACTGTTCCTTCTCAATTAGACGATCTCTCAGTTTCCTCAAGGTATGGTTTTTCTCGTCCAGTTCTTTGTCGGAAGGTATCAAGTGTACGCAGTCAGACTGAATAAGAGTGGTGATGAGATCAACTTGGGAGAGAGAACTATCGCAATGTGATAGTCCAGTGTTGAGTCCAAGCTTGGCACATTTCACTTTAGCAGCTACTAGTAGGGAACGTATCATTTTAATGATCACAGCGTGATCCACTTCGGGATTTACTTTCCCACCGGCGACGGGGTGCAGAAGACGTCTCATCTCGTCACAGCAATCTAATAAGAAGCTTGCGTACGATTTGTGCTCGGAATGTAAGTTAAGAATGGCTAGACATAAAGAAATGTTAGGAGCGTATTCGAACGAGAATTCTTCTCGGATAGTTTTGTTGTGCTCGTGATCTTTGGTTAATCGCCAGTAATCGAACGTGGAAGTGGACGGTGTCCCTTGGGAAGTTTGCACTTGTAATATCGTCTGTCGTTTGCAATCGTCGCACACGCGTACGAGCACCGAGGGCGGGTAACCGGATACTTGCATGCGGTGTTGAGAACAAGTCGCGCAGATAATGCGACCACATCTGCGGCAGTGGTGTCTTCTATTAAACATCGAGAATATCACATTTTTGCAGCAACTGCATTTTTTCGCTTTATCGTTCGGTACCCACTCTTCTTTAGTAGGAACGAATAAAGGCATAACGAACTCGGTATTTTCAGTTTCTGATGCAGATTGTTGAATATTCTTCAGAGACTTGCTTTCAATAGCGTCGCACTGTAAAGACACGCGGATATCTAAAGATTTCTGGGCATAGAATCTTATGATCTTGTCGAAGCTGGTCCGTGAAATATCTGCTTGATCCAATTTGTTCTCGATCGCACTCAATATCCTCTGAATATTCTCGAATTTGCAATTCATCAACAGTTGTTCCAACATCAGTAAAGGTTCTTTTATCAGATGTATATACAATGATCTCTCCCGAGCGTCCAGCATACTCAATATTTCAATTCCTAATAACGTTCTTCTATATTTTACTGTCTCCGTTGCTTTACAGTACTGCAATAAGTAATTACAAATATATCTCAGTGAGTCGATGGATTCTAATTTGTTCAGCACGACTTTACAAAGCTTAATCGACTGATCAAAAGGTAGCGCCTGGAAGAACTTTGAAGTTTGGTTGAAATTTTGAGATTCGTTTTTCAAGAGGCCAATCAAGAACTCCTCCGTTATGAAAGGGTGTATCTCTAAAGAGAACGCTTGGCACTCCATCCACTCCAAACACAGTTCGAATTGATCTGCATTCATTAACGATTTAACAATCTGTAGAGGATCAACCTTCCCCGTGCAGTAAACGATGTCGTACCAGGTTTCGTTCGCTTTGATTATGTAGTAAGGAAGCATTTTATTAAAGATCAGGACTCTTCTCAAGATCTCCATCAATTTCAGCACGCAATGCATGGGTAGTTTGTAATTGTCCACGTGATGCACCAGATGAAGTAGAACATTTTTACAAATATTCACGTGCCACTTGTTAATATTGTATAATACCGTTTCACTCAACGTGTACACATCTTTGATTTGATACAAGTACTGTAGTATTTCCGTGTTTAACTCCGTGTCCTTGTTCGTGACTATTTGCCCGAGAACTTTATCTTTGAAACATTGTACTTCGGTGCTCAAAGCCACACGACTTGGCAGAGCGTTTATTAATTTCAAACAGGGTTCCCATTCAGCGTTTCTCGCAATCAGTTCAAAGTGAGACCACAGCCTGGGCATCGGTATTGTCTCGAGGATAGCGGCAAGAGTTTGATTGTTTTCGAACAACGATTTCAATTCTTTCACCCAGGGTGATGTTACGAGATTTTCGAGGCACGCGGTGCGCTTCAGATTAGATAAATCGGGAACGTTCTCGTTCTGTATTCTCCGTAGGAGATAAGAGACGACCCAACACTGGCCTACCAAATACTGCAACAAGCTCGGTCTTATGTTATCAATTTTCCAGTCAGTTTTGTATTCATTCACTTGCTTTTGATGATGCGTATTAGACTGTTTTTGATATTTCAATATTATGCTGTACGAGTAGGACAGCGGAACGTATTCGATGGTCGTGGATTCGTCCAACTCGACGTATTCATTTATTGAATAAGTACTGTTACTATTATTACCAGGATCGGACTCAAAGTTCTGAGAAATAAAATTCTGATACCGTTCTACGATTTTCGGTAACTGAATTATATTCTCTTCTCGCTTTGCCAAGTAATGATCCAGATACTCGCGAAAAGCGTTAGCTAAATCTTCGTTCAACGAATCAGTATTACAGATTTTTATATAAGGTGTTCCACTGTATTCGTTGGCCATCAGAAAAATTACTCGTGGATCGTGGGTAATATCTAGATCCTGCCACGCTGGTTCATTGAGCTCCTCGACTTCGATAAAAAATTGATCATTTGATATAATATCGCCCAACAATTTCGATCTGAGCGTGGTCAACGTTACCAAACCCAAATCGCCAATTAAATAACCGATCGACTTTAACGATATCGAGTGCTGCAACTCATTAAAGGGAGGATCGTTCGCCCAGACTGTTAATGCAGCGTGTAGGAACATCAGATTCCATGTATTCACGAGGAACGTTAACGTTTCGTCGCCCATAGACAATACGCTTAGATCCAAGCTCACAAGACGAGCTGTCTTGCTCAAAACGTTTCGAACGTCGGCATGCTCCGACAGAATTTTACATGTCTCACGAGTCAAACATGATTGATTCAAATTCAAATTGTGTAGAACTTGTAAGAGTTCAGTCAGGATCTCTGAAACGCATTGGTTTGGCCCTTGAATTTTGTAATTCAGATCCTATAAAGAAATGCATATTTAATTCCAGTTTATTGCAGCATTATATTTGAAACGTTTCATACGTACCGATATATTCGATGATTTATTTAAAACAATACATCCGATATCTCTGCTAATAGTATCGAATCTTGCATTCTCTTCGTAAGGAAGTACAGGACAAGCGTTCGTGAGGATACTGTACGCTAAATTGATTTGCAAATCGTGCGCTATCGGTTCGAGACTATGCGGCTCGGTTTCAAGCTCGAATATCTGGTGACCAATGTAATAATGCAACGGGACTTTCAATAAATCAGAAACAGTGAACAATGCGTGTTCCGTAGGAATGATCACGTGCAAAAGTTGTAAGTGAGACGATAAATTTTGCATGTACTTCTTGGTACCACGGGGGATCGTAGCTATCTTGGATAATATCTTTAAACCAGGCAAATGATTCCTGTCCTTCAATATATTATTAATCGTATTTTTGTTAACTTGAGACTCTTTGAATTCTTCATGTCTAATCACAATATCAGTCCAAAAGTTCTCTTTCTCTTTGTATTCCTTCGCAGATAATGAAACTTTTGCGTCACAGAGTATATCCTCTACGGATGCCTCGTCCTTCTTTTCGTATAACAGTTGATAAAACTTGTGAAAAAAATGCACGTATTCCGTGTTGTCAAATGTTTTATACAATTTCAAATACTTCATCGCAACCTCGCAGAGATTCAGGGAGACCGTATAAATCTGGCTGACAGTCAGAGCCATATCCAACGCGCATATCGTTAATATTTCATAATTACTAAGAGTTTCCATGGACAACATTCGCAGATTGACTTCTTGCGAAGCCAAGAAAGTCTCGAACTGGCCAGTTTGTCTGGAAGACTGTATACCTTCCTGAACAACTTGTCTTATGTTCTGTAAGAATAGAAAACATTAAGTTATTTGTCAGTGCCGAAAGCGTGTTCATATTACTAATCGTTAGAACATACTTCCAACGCGGAAGATTGTGAATTTTCTTGAGACTCGTTCGTACTTATCAACGTGTTCACCTGTTTTGGTATATTTATTCTAAACGCGTGCAACGCTTTCGAAAATTGCACTTCTCCATTCAGTTGAGTGTTCTTCATATTAGACGACTTGAAAAAAAAAAGATTAAATGTTACTCCGATTAGTTTCCACGTATCTGTTGCTAACAGTTTCTGTTATCGCATTGCCACTACATAAAGTTGAGTATCGTCATTTTATTATTTCTTTATTGAGTAAATATACAATATTTCTATCAGCCACTCTTCTGCCAGATCAATTTGCAAAATAAGCAAGAATTCGAGATCGCGTCCGACACGAAAGATTACGACGAGCTGAGTGAAAATGAAATGATACAACCTGGTGATTTAACGAACTTGAAAGCTTATATAGAGGACGACAGCAGATACAGGCCGTTGCATTCGTTCGTAGAAAGTTATAACAAACAGGAAGATATGAATAAAATACAGAACACGAATATGTTCTTCAACGTAAAACCAAAAATATGGGAAAGCTCGAATGTGGAAGATGATGTACCATTCGTTGCTGGTTTTAAGGAAGATCTGGATAAAGTGCTTAACGATTAGTTAATCAATTTTAGCCAGAGACACAAATATAGCTTCATCGACATTTACTTCCAGATTGAACAAGAAGAAAATTTCAAATGATCATAAAAATATGAAACGGGCAGTTTCTTCAGATGAGGAAGACGATGGCATAGAACCAGGCGAAGAAGCATACGATTATCACAAGTTCAAAGCAGAATACGAAGAACAATTAGAACAGTCTAACAAAACTCTAAACTTTACTGATAAGGACAAACTGGAAGAGCAACCGAAGGAGGCGTTAGAGAAATTAGTTGACTTTCGAAATTGTACAGAAGCAGCCTCAAAGAAATTTGGTATTAAAGCGATAGATTGTTTGATGTATAATTACGAAAAGCAGAAAGAGAAGCCTGTCGTGAAGAAGACAGTAAAGAAGATATGGTTGACTCTAAAAGTTTGGTTCCTGATTTACGTGTGTATCGCGATTCCCTGTTGGTGCCAAAGAGGTAAATTGCATGAATCGCGATGAAAGTATATTTCATCGTCAGTCTCTATCCCTGTATAGGATGGTGTTGCTGCTGCTTTCGTTTCAAATTCTGTTTCCCGAAAAAACGAATCACGTTCGCGATGCAGTATTACGCGAAGAACCCTCCCGGCGTGTTAAGTATAGAACCCCGCAAGAAAGAAGAAATGGTAGAGCCTTTTACGTATCGTCCCACCGAGCTTGAAGAGGAGGCGTACGAGACGTTTGAATCCGCGATAAGAAATATATGAAATATTACCTCTAGAATTTCCTGAGCCTTTGTATAATCGTTTTTCCATAAGCAACGAATAATCAAGCTTTCTTTAGTTGCCAATAAAAAGTTTACGAACAACGGTTTGTAAATTACGTTTTTGGTTCCATCCGATAACACTGGATTTCTCGAATGCTTTCGCCATTTCGTATTATTTATAGTTTCTGAATCGGAACTACTGTTAGACTTAATCTTCGACTCGTCAGAAACACTACTTTCCTGATGAGAAAGTACGCTCTCTTTGGAATTATTGGTAACAAGCTTCTTCGTTCGAAAGGTTTTACTTCTATCTTTAACGGGTTGACTAGCATACTCTGTGAAATACGGATTTGTATAAAGCTCCAATCTCCATTTAGCATCTGTTATTGCAGAATCGATTCGATCTATTTCTTCTGTATCTCCATTCTCATTTTTCATCCCCACGTATTCCATCCTCGTTGCTGATACAATATCACGCAAGTGATGTAATACATCTCGCACAGCATACTTGTTGCAGATGAAGCCTGATAAATGTTTTTTCGCGTTGCATTTATCGTCGAACTTTAATTGTTCGTAAGAAGTGTCTATATCGCTGTTATCATTACTTTTGGGTACGTGGTCAAAGTGTTCGTCTCGTAGAAACATCAAATAAAATATATTTTCTATTACTCGAACGCGCAAATCGGGCGGCTGCAACGATTTTACGAGATGGTTCATATATGAAAAATACTCTTTTATGGTAGATTTATTTGTGTCGTAATTGTCGCATAACAAGATAGCTTTCAAAGCATATAACACGCTGCAGTACGCGTTGAAAATGTTTTCCGGCTCACGAAGGTCTTCCAACAAGTTCTTTATCCTCTTATGCTCTTGCTCATGTATATTTGTTGTCATTTTCAACACCAAAAGAGTATCGAAATGTTGCAGTAAGTCGAATATCCATTTTATGGAGATTCTTCTGTGAGACTCAGCAACAGGTTTCTCTTCATTCTCCTTTCCAGAATCCAGAATGTATTTTAGTATCTTCAAATTTTTTCTAATCACATCTTGCAGTTGATTAAGTACAGAGTCTTGCGATAAATCATTGGTGCATTTGGGTATCAAAAATTCGATTGAATTATACAGAAGATCGTAATGTTTCCAGGCATCGGGCAAATCATCTTCCCATTGTGAACATTCGTTTAAAAGTTTCAGTAACAAAACTGGCCAAAGCGGTTTTAACAATGGACAAGATAGTGTTCGTGAAACATCGTTGTACTTGCTGTTTATCATTAATGTATAACAGATATTTAATATGTCTATTACCCAATGTGACTTAATGCTATTTACTCTTTCTACAAGTCTATTATTATTGATAGTAACAGAAGCAGGTGTGAAGTGAAACAACACCTTCTGAATTTTCAATGCATCGCTTAAATTATTGATAGGTCTACAATTCATATAGACTTCATTGAGAAAGGCACACCATTTCTTGAATAGAAGTTCATCCGTTCTCGAGTATAATGCAAGCTGAAGATCCTGAGTATCACTTGCTTTCAGTATCATAGGAAAAAGCCTGGTGCACCATGTCGTCTCGTCACACTTGAAAGTGTTCATTTTAGATATAAGGAGTAGTAGCACGCGTTCGAAAGAATTGTCACCGATCAACTTCTGTTTAGACAATTTGAACTCTAACAACTCTTTTATTAAAGATGGATAAAAATCCTGTAGCTGAGAGACAGTATCGTCTAGTATATTGCTGCAAGTTGACAACAATTCATTGTGAATCCAACAGGTGACAATTGGATTGTCGTAAACGTTTTGCTTCAAGAACGTAAGGTATTCATCCTGTATCGTTCGAAATAAGTCTAAAGTGGTCTGCTCTGTACCACCTCTGTATATCATTAACAATTTCTCTTGTAAATTCGTCGACAAGTTTCTGCATAGCTGCAGAGATTGTTTCATTTGAATGTAACATTGTTCTTTTCGAATACAGTCAACGTCTAATGATGTTACACGATTCACGAGTGTACACAATAACGTGTGTATTATCCATTCAGACTGGCTTACACTTTGAGAATCAATTAGACTTACAATCAAGTCCTTTGCCTCAACGAAGTCTGCGTTGTTAACCTGCGAAGATCTGTCATCGTCCTGACAAATAGTTAACGACGTGTACCATAATTTTGACTGAATACATTTATTTATTTGCAACGTCTCTGACATGTTTTTCACGTGTATTTAAACTGTAGAAAAAATAAATATGCACTGTCTGATTCACGCACGTACATCAGCATATTGATAACTACACAGAACAGGATGAATCACTTTCTTTCATCATAGAATTTATTCCTATTGACGTAGAAATATCATTTAGATCGATCATGTTACGCCACACGATATTCACCACGTTCGATAATGAGTACTGTGTTATTCTTTATTCATGTTGGTAAATAATGAACGACGTGAAGAAGATGCAACACGCAGCTCACGCAGCTCATTTCCATGAATCATCGACTAACTTCAGGTTCCTGATAGTTACGTGCGTATGTGTTAGTGACTAACACGTACGTATGCCAATATACGAACATTGGCTGGGATATGACAAGGGTGGCCGGCGTTGCTACATCAAATTGTTTGAATAGAAATGTTCCCTTGGAATTATTGAATTTCGAATAAACCGTTAGTATTTATTACTGGGGTAAAGTTTATAAAAAAAAATACTCTTACAGTAGATACGAAAAATTCAATACAAAACGTTGTATAAAGTATACTGTGCAAAGAATAGTATTAAATAAACATAAGTACGTGTAATATACGATGAGAGGAGATTGGAACGATTGGAAAAAGGACTAGTGTACTATTCCACTTATGCTTATGTTTATTTATTAATTGTTGCGACGGAAGTCATCAAACTTGAAAATTTAATAAAAATATTCACAATGAGCATCCTTTCTTTCTTTCTCACTTACGTTCTTGCCCTTTCTCTCCCACTCTCGCTCACTATCTCTCCATTACTCTCATACGTTGTCTCTCTGTTACGCGCTAAACATTACGACCGTAACACATTCTTCATGAGCTAATGCGTATTGGTATGGGCCAATTTAACCAATGTAAAACATGTGTCCAGCACTCGATGGACACTTGCGTTTTGCTTGGTTATGCATGTATGAATGTGTGGTATGATGTATATGTACATTCAATTATTAATAATTATTATTAATAACAACAATAACTAATTAATACGAATAGAAAATCATGATTCACGGTGAATGACTTGATTTCCGTTTTCTTTTTTTACCCCCCTTATTAAGATTCGATGAATTTTCGTTCCAGAGTTCGTCTCGTCCGTATCTCCTATCAAGTGCACACGACCAACGACGTCAGCGCAACATTGCAAATTCAGTTAAGCGAGGCCTTCGTTTCACTTTTCGGCGAAATTTTCCTGTCTCCGGAGATTATCGGGGAAACTGGTTCCAAAACAGCGATTGCTCCTGGCTCAACAACTTTCAGAGCTGCCAATGACGATACATAAAGCTGGGATATTCTTCATTGTGCTGACTCTGGCGTTAAAATTGCGATAACGGCGTGACTTTGTGGTCGACCGAACGTACACTGGACGATCCGACTGATTGTATCCGCTGCAGATTGATTCAATCCAGAATAACGACCATATCGTCGCCGCGGGTTGCTCTCTGCGGATGAGGAGGATGCAGAGGAGCTGGCAATCTGCGCCACGGCTTACGCGCCGCTCTACGAAGTTCCACGGACGAGAGGGTTCTTCTAAGTCTTCTACGGATCAATGATCAAACAGATTTTAATAGTATGTATGTATAAATGTGTACGATTTTCTTGGTTTCGAAGAATGCTGATACTAACTTAGTTTGATCCGAAGCGCGGAAGTAAACGTCATCAGGTGCGTCCATCCATGAAATCACTTGTTTGCGAGCGTTACTTCTGGACAGCGGTGCACCGTGTGGCAGAGAGTGAGGGTGTGCAGCTCTTCCGTTGAGAGGCGGTGCCAGAGGAAGAACAGCGGGCGCCGCTGCATGCTCCAATGTGTGCTTGGGATGCAACTGCTGAGAATGGTGAGCCCTTTTTGCAGGTGGTCCGCCAGGGAGCCCTGCACTTAGGGCGATACCTGTCGAGAGTACTGAATGTTTATATAACATTCAACCGAACGAAAGTGGCTAACACATAAAGGTTAGTATGAAGCTATTGAACCGATGATATTCCGTTTCGGAAAGATTTTTAATCTGTTCAATAAAATAATTCTGATTTTTATTTAGATTCATAGCCACTGAATTATTTTACCTTCATCCCAATCCGCGTCCGAGTAGAAGCCAGTAAAATAAAAGACCACATTCAATAATAGAATTTAGAAGATAGACATAGATAGGTCGATAATTACATGATTCTGTAGCTTACCATCTGATCCATTGATCTCGTCGAATGGAGGTCTTGCGCGCTTCAGTATCGTTTGCTGGGCTTGCATAGCAGGTTGCGGTTGCGGTGGTGTTACCGTCAGCCTGTCTACCTCGGGCTTGTTCGGTACTCTCTCGTATAAAAGGCTACCGTCTGTAAGAATGAGAATGTTGAACATATCGTACTATCGTATGAACTTTGGTACACAGAGATCGAAGTACCTGGCGCTTTCGGAGGTCTGGGAAATGAAACGCGGTCTGGCTGTTTCCGTTGTGCCGGTGCCGTCAGAGCCAACCAGTCCCAATCTCCTGGTTGCCGTGGGGAAGGGTGATCGCCCAAACGCGTAGCTATGTCGGTCACGCGAGGACGAGGTCGAGGTCGCACGGCGCGTGCCAAGATGCGTAACTCCGCCGGGGTTTTCGATGTCAATTGAGGCGAAGCACACAGGTGTCGCAACGGCGCCGCGTTCACGGGTTGGTGAGGCGCCCGAGCCGCGTGACGTGTTCGTAATTGTGCGGCACACAAACGTCGTGCAGCTCGCGCCAACGCCGAAGTGCGCAAGTAAAACGCAGACCGTGTCTTCATGACAGGTCTGGGCGATCCGCCACCGCCGCCTCCGCTCGCACCGCTTCCGCGTAGATCAACGCCATGGGCACTGGCGTAATGGCGACTTAAGTGCGCTTTGAGTTTAAATTCCTTACCACAAGAAGGAATGCTACATCGATGAGGTCTGTGCGCACCGCCCATTCCTTTGCTCTCCTCGTCCGAACCGGTGCCGCCCCGTTTTCTTTCTAAATCGACGTCGTCCATGCGAGACGGAACCTAAAAATTAGTATTGATACAGTCATCCTTACGTAATATAAGCGGGTCTTTGTTCGCGTTGAGAAACGTACCTTGAGACCGCCGTACTTCTTCCAGTACGTCCAACAAGATTGGCATAGACGGCATTGCATATGCGATGGTCCCCAAGCATACCACTGCGGGCTTTGCATTACTTGACAGCTCTCGCACGGTTTTCCACTGACACCGACCATCAATATTCCGCTATTATCGGTGGCCATATTACCGTTGCTATTGCCGTTCAGAACACTAGTTGGTTTTCCGTTACTGTTGTTATTACTATTACCAATAGGTACGATCGTTGCTGCGGAAGGGGCGGTTGTAGGCGGAGATGTTTTGTTATAATTTGGTATATAAACTTGTTTTAATTTGCTCTCGGCTTCTACAGCCTTCACCCTCTTTTGTTGTACGTATCTGTCGGTCGTCTTCCACATGTAATAGTATTCGATCACGTTTTTAAGAGTTTTCCACGGCAACTGAAATGTGCGAAATTAAGGATGTATTGGCTATACAGTCAATCCCAAAAGTTTATGCACTTTAGAAACACATTTTTTAAAAAGAAATCAGACGTCGGAAGAACAATGCTAATAAACAACAACAAAAAATTTCGATTTTTCCGAGATTTTTCCAAGGGGTACCCCTTCAATTTCTTCCAAATTTTCCTTTTTCGTCAATAATTCCCGAACGGATGGACGCAGGGGAACACGTATAGGACCATTTTGTAGAGGACGACGAGATCTACAATTTCCATGTAAAAGTTTGTCGCCAGTGTCAATAGTTTCCGAGTAATTTGCAAAAAACTGTTTTTTCGTTTTTCATCAATAACTCGTTAAATATTGATGCTAGCGAAGAACTTTTATACAGAAATTGTAGATCTTGTCGTCCCCTACAAAATAGTTCTATACATGCCCCCCTACGTCCATCCGTTCGGGAATTATTGACGAAAAAGGAAAATTTGGAAGAAATTGAAGGGGTACCCCTTGGAAAAATCTCGGAAAAATCGAAATTTTTTGTTGTTGTTTATTATTAGCATTGTTCTTCCGACGTCTGATTTCTTTTTAAAAAATGTGTTTCTAAAGTGCATAAACTTTTGGGATTGAGTGTATACCCGATACATCCTTAAGATGACTAGCCGGTTACGAGCAGAGAATTACCGCTAGCAAAAAAAGATGAATCACGAATGTCAGTGCTACTTCTATGAGCTAACGATACTTCCAATTGCGTGGAATCTATTATTGTTGTGCTTGATACTCGCGGACTATTTTCGTTGCGCGTACAACTG